CAAAGTAGAACAACTGCTATTTCAGGAGCATGGAGGAAAAGGGTTCAGCTCAAATAGCAGATGTGAAACCCTTCCTTTTTCAGCATGAAAATGAAGTGCATTATTGCAGAAGTGAAGAAAACACTTTTAAAAAAATACTAAGCCAGCCAATTTGAAATAGATCAGAAGCAAGTTTTAATGCAGTGTCAGCTAATCAACTAACTACCCTTGTAGTCAGTGTCATGGTGTTGACTATATTCAGTTATCTTTGTTAAAGAGAGCCGGTTTGCTCTAGCGTTAAAGTTAAGGCATCAAGCTAGAAATTGGGAGACCAAGAGTTCTAGTCCTGCCTTAGGCATAAAGCCAGCTGGGTGACCTTGGGCCAGTCACTTTCTCTCAGTCCTAGGAAGGAGGCAATGGCAAACCACCTCTGAAAAATCTTGCCAAGGAAACTGCAGGGACTTGTCCGGGGAGGCTCTGAGATGCCAATACCACTGAATGGAAGAAGAAAAAGAAAGAATCCTGGTTAAGCTTAATCAAGAAAGAGTTGTTTGTAACTGTCTCTGGTGTAATTTGTTTTGCAACATCACTTGGTTTTGGAAGCAGCAGAGAGTCCCAGGGATCACAGAAATAAATGTCTTAGTAGCTACCGAACAATAGAGGGGAACTTTGTATCTCGGAGCATTTGGTGTTGAGTCATTAAGATCTTGTATATTGTTGATGTGACAAAAACGTTTTAACTGAATCACTTTCTATGAATTATGCAAATCTCATCAAGAAATTACTGTATATTCAGATAGGGACAGAAAAAAATAACTCTTAGTAACTTTTCAAATAATTATTAGTGCTCTTTAAAAGTAAATGTTAACAGTATAATTTATTTCTATCTTGGAAGTATGATTAAACTCTTTTCTGCAAGGAGAGCACGTGTTAAATTTCATCCAAGTTTTTCATGATATATTTCTCATTGTCTGATACGAGTAATTTGTCTTCAATCAAACAGAGTACATCTTTTGATTTATATTAATGTTCATGCTAGGTCTATTTTATTCAAAGCTATCAGTTTTCAACTAATTATTTTTGTTCAAAACGGTACCTATAATTTTAGCCTAGTGTTCTACATTTACTTTCTTTCCACTTTGCAATGTCACACTCTTCCATCTTTTTATGGTTTATCTTGCATCTAGCTGTAATAATATCCTAGCATAAAAAAATAAATGTTTTTTTTTCTTAAAATGGACTTTTTCTTTTACAATGAATACTATGATTTACAGTACTTTTAATATACAAAAAGCTTTGGACTCTGTAGATTCTCTGCATCTTCACTTCTTTCCCTCCCTCACTACTTCAATAATATTTAGTAGACATGTGTAGATCCAGTAAAAATTGTATCACATCCACATCCTGGACACCCTTTTATTTACACTGTTTTCCTTCCTAAGAATGTACCATGGTTATATTGGGGAGGGCATAGACTCCCTTTAATTGTATGCAACATAATGTATTGGCAAAATAAAATTAATGTATGAGCTAAATAAAACTAATTTGAGTTACTTTTACAGTATCTTTCTGTCTGCCTACTTAGAGAAGAATCTTATAATAATTATATTCTGTCACTAGCAGTGCACCTGCAATTTGTATTTATAGAAATATATATAATTATAGCACAGCCTGCAGTCTATACATGATCCTTTCAACTTGGACTTAATGCCTATATGCAGTAAAGAGGTTCAGGATTGTAGCAATAAGATGCAATGCATATAAATATTAGGAATAAGTCCCAATGATGTGGAACTAATTTTGGAATAAGCTATTTACAAAATTGCATTGACTACAAAACAAACAAGGTCTTGTGTTCGTTTCTATGCAAAACTCGGTATGTTTTATGAAAATATGAGTTTCATAACCAAAACCTAGGATAGAAGGTGATGTTTGTGTACACAGATATATGGTCCTCATCCTGGCATTTTAAATAATTTTTAGAATATAATCATTTGCCTATCCATGCCCTACATTAACCCATGTTACAATGAATACTTTCACCATTAAAAAAAATAAGTTCAAAGTCAGTAGTAGAAAGTGAGACCCCAGGCAAGAAGGTTGCCATTGGAAAAGAACAACAATGTGCTACAAGTAGTATAAGAAACAATGTGTAGGAACCTGTATGCTGAATGCACCAACTGAGAACCAATCTTTTAGACAACAGATTTTAATACTTGTAATGGAGAGAGTGGGTGGGAGAACAAGAGTCAGAAGAAAAAAAGGAAGGAGCATGAATTTTTAAAGTATTAGCAAAAGAAAAGGATTTCTAAGTGGCTGATCCTTAGAATTTCTTGAAGTTTGAAATCTCCTGAAGCAGAGAGGTCACAGTCTGAAGAAGTGTGTTAAAGATGAAGAGGAATTGAAGAAACTTATCTAGCCTTCACAGGGGCTTTGATAGATGTCAAACATGATGAAGATAAAGATATATCAATAGCCAGAGAAAAACCAGGAGCGAGGTTGACAACAATCTGAAGACATGTTACACTCAGACTTTACAGAAAGATCTACTGTATATAGTAGCTGGATTTTTTAAAATCCTTCATGTAAATGTTGTTAGCAAATACTGGAGCCGTGAGATTAAAAGAAAAGATGCTGACAAGGATTGTAACTGGGTTAAAGAACACAGAATAGGAATAAATGTCAGAGTTTACACTGAAGAGATGAGCAAATTGGAACAATTCATGGATTATGAATTTTAAGATGTTCATAAATGGAGTTTGGATAAGCAGTGAGATGGTCAAGTTTGCTGAACATACCAAGATGTTCAAAAAAGGATTTCACAGAGCTCCAAAATGGTCATGTAACTTAGTGTAAAATACATAAAATCATAAGAAAAGGAACTGCAGATATAACTGCAGCTAAAACACCATCCCTATATAAATCAATGGTGATATTACACGAGAAATAATGTATATTGTTCTGATCACTGCACTGTAAAATTTACATTGTATACCTGGAAAATTTAAAGGAAATGACAATCTAAACTCTTAAAGATCTAGAAAAGTTTGTCATGCTACCAGACTTCCGTTGAAACTAAAAAGCCCAATGTAACTCTGACCAACATCTGGGGCTTTTAACTGGAACTGAAAGCAGGTAAAGAAAGATAAGTACATATAAAATCATGCATGACATTAAAAATGTGGACAAAGAAAAATTTCAGTTTAGAATTCAGGGTAATCCATCAAATCTAAGTTTCAACTTTCAATACATCTGCTTGCTAGGGATAAACACTGAAAGAGAACCATTACTTGTGACTATGAGTCTTACCAATGTACGCTGCTCGAAAAAAAATACAGCTCTGGGTGTTATATTACATAACATTTTACTGTATGTTTTATACTTTGTTTTTTTAAACTGTTCAAAATCACACTGGAGCATCATATAAATGTTGCAAAATAAATAGACATCTGAAGAGTGCCCATGTAAAATGTGACACAGGCATTTTCTGGGGAAAAATTAAAGCTCCTAACATCCTTTTTCTGCAATTATTAAAAGCAGCCAGAGCTATATACATCAAGTTTTTCCTAATTAATAGAAAGCAGCAGAGTTTATAATCGCTTGACAGAATAAATAAATAAGTAAATAAAGTTTAAGGTTAAATAAGGGTTAGAACAGGGGTCCCCAAACTTGGCAACTTTAAGACTTGTGGACTTCAACTCCCAGAATTCTCCAGCCAGTATAGCTTAAAGTTGCCAAGTTTGGAGACCTCTGGGTTAAAATGATCCTCAAACTCTGGCCTGCAAGTAATTTCAGCTGATTAAAATTACTCAATATTTAACACTATACTTGGCCCTAAATTTTGTTATTTTTTCCCCCCAACCACACAAATGATTGTCAGCCAAACTACATTCGGTTCAAGAATTTAAGATACTCAAAATAGGCACTGAGCTTTCTACTACTTCTTCCTTTTGTGTTTATCTTTTAATTGTGTATCCTAAAGACCTGAGCTATTTACAATGCAGCACGTCTTCTGAAAAGGAAGTCAAGGTGAGAATAAAGTTATCCAGTGTTCCAGCAATATCCCTAATAGTTTCTTACTATTCCTACTTAAACAACCATGTAGCAAATAAAAACTCAACAGGTGAAGCCTTCCTTATGACATTTGCCTGGGGGGGGGGGATTTCACTGCAAAATAAGAGCTTATTCTAGAACAAATTAGCTAGGAGTCATTTACCATCCAACAGGTCAAAATTCAGCAGACTCCTCCTGTCACTAATTCTAAAGCATATATGCAACTTCTGTTTCTAAAAGGCCCCTAAAGTAGCGCATCTAACAGCTTACAGATCCCTGTAGTTCATCACATATGGAGCCGCTGTGCTGCTGCAGCTTGTTTTAAAGAGACCGGGTGAGTGAGTCCCTGGGCTATTCTAAACCTTCCCCCATGTTATCGGATCGAAGTCGTCTGGCTCAGTTGATTTACAGGACGGACTTTCTTCTGAACAGAGAGCTAATAACCGCTCTAATGTCCTGTTTCTATGGAGATTCTCAGTCATCCCGGTCGTCCCAAAGATGCTTTTTGAAGAGGCAACTGGACTTTCTGGTTTTTCTTTGAAGACGTTTCGCTTCTCATCCAAGAAGCTTCTTCAGCTCTGGACTTCTCAGAGCTGAAGAAGCTTCTTGGATGAGAAGCGAAACGTCTTCAAAGAAAAACCAGAAAGTCCAGTTGCCTCTTCAAAAAGCCCCTTTGGGATAATGTCCCGTTTCTTCAACACATTAAAAGCTGTTTTAGAACAACATATTTTTTTTCTTCCAAGAAAAGCCAAGGAATTAAATGACCCACTCCCACTCTAAATTAACCCCGCCCTGTAAAAAGAGGCAGGCCAGCTTCTTCTACGGCGATTCTCATTTTTCATGCCATTCACGCGCTTGAAGGTTTGGCGGAAGTAGTTTTCCCCATTTCAGAACTGGACGTTTTAGTTGTTCCGCGCATGCGCGCGAGAGCCTTCCCGGGCTTTCTAGCTGTCGCGTTATTTTGTGTCGAGTGGGAATGGTTTTTTTGTGATTCAAATGGCGGCGGGACGCTGTTGTAGAAACAGCCTTTGGTGGCTGTGCTGGGAGCTTCTCTGAGTGCCTTATTTCACAGGTTAGGAGTTTCGGGGATCAAATTTGGGTCTCGCCTGAGTGATGGTGCGCGCACGTTGTATGTGTATATACATGGTTGGAAGGTTTTCTGCTGAAAGCCTTTATTTATTTGAAATTAAAATAATTCTGTATTCACAAGCAACTGAGTTCCTGACTACGATTCATCACTTAGAGACACAGAGGACCACAATGTGCTAAACCGAGGGCTGTTCAAGAAAAAGTTTTGAAAATTTACTAAGGGCCTTCAAACTTGGACTTCAACTCCCAGGATTCCTGAGCTAACATAACTGGAGGAGGAATTCTGGGAGTTGAAGTCCACAAGTCTTAAAGCTGTCAAGTTTGAAGACCCCTTAAATGTTTTAGTATGAAGTTGCTAGCAATAAAGGAGAATATTTTGTAGCTGGGGTTGAAATGAGGAGTGGTACTCTCTGAGTTTGTTTTCTTGCAAGGTTTCATTACCCAAACTAACATCAGCCTGGCATTGATGATACAGTAGTTTGAGTAATGAGAAGTCTGCAAGAAAACAATCAAGCTCTGGAGTTGATGGAATATGAAAAGACAGCACAGTATATCGCTCTGAGACTTGGTATCTTTGCTTGGTCTGTAAAAGTTTTTTTTACTCCTAGAATAGAATCTCAATACACTTTAGAAAAATCTTATTTTCATTACGTTCTATGAAATCAAATGAACTTAAAACCCCATGAAATTGGGATATATTTCTAAACAAACATAGATTACATGCATTGCATCAGAATGTGATTGCCTTGTGTATTCCTCTACTGCAGTTTATACATTTTTTACTTGTTATTCGTAAAGGTATAAATAAGTAAACCATGGTTCAGTGTGCAACATGAACATGGCTATTTTTGATAAAAGTGAGATTTGAAGAGAAAAGGATTAATGACCTAGGTAAATTTACTTTGAAGGTTGCGAGAAATACTTATTTTGCTTCAAAATAGAATAGACTGCTGTTGTAGCAAATAAAATTAAAACAATGATTGTTTGCAATGCTCATTACACATCCTAAAACTTTATCAATATCCTAGTGTTGCATATTATTGTCTTTTAGTATATCTCTAGATGGCAACCTAGAATATGAATAGCACACTAAATCAGATATACTAAATACATACAATCATATGTGATTGTAAAACTAAGCTTCCAGAAATTCAAAATGATGGCAACCTAGAGTATGAATAGCAAACTAAATCAGAAACTTTGGATAAAGTGCTATGCGTAGTGCAAACTATAAAGATTAGATTTATACTATATGCCCAAGCCCAAACAAGCAAATATATTGCAGTTTCTTGCAGTATAGCATATGAAATTTGCAATAATTAATACAGAAAAACAAAACCCTTTAAAATTGCTATTCTCCCTTTGCCTTTACAAGGATATTGTGCCTAATAAACTTTAACAGGCTTGGCTTCATGCATACTCTGTTATAGTAGGAGCTATTGATCCACAGTACTTTATATCTTTCAGACTTTAGATATCATGGAGACAGTCAAATCTAAGATCCCTGTTCACACTTCCCAACAATCTAAAACAACTGGTGTTCTGAAAGGTCTGTTAATGCGTTATCCTACAACTAGAGAATAATTATCTTATTTCTTCCTGTGTTGCAGAGTCTTTGCAAAGACAACTTCAAATGCTTTTCTTACCTGTGGTAGCTAATCTTAGATCAGCCTGATGTGAATTAGAATTTAATCAAACTTATAACTAGAACTATGTACTTAAACCTCATTCATCCTTTGAAATAAGAGTCAGGTAAGAGTGGAATTTTATATCAAGATAGTAAGTATTCTGTTATCATCAATTGTTTGGGGCTGCAACCATTATATTTATTTATATTGTTTGTCAAGCTAGCTTGATTTTTTTGGAAAATACTATTTAAAATATCAGGATGGTTCTGTACATATATTCTGGGCCAATATCGGTTTTGGCTTTGCATTTTAGAAAAAAGGTTAGAAATTCAAATTCAGGCCTTCAAATTTGGTGAAATATAAGAATAAGGAGCTGTGTCTGTTGAAAATCAGAAATCAAATCAAGTTTTGGTAAGTGGACTTGATGAAGAAGTGATGTCTTCTCCTGGGGATTTAAATAAGAGAAAAAGCAATAGATTTTTCTGCTGTCTCTTGCCTTATCCAAAGTTGCGCACAAATTAAAAGAGTTCAGGAGTTCAGGAAGGAAGATACAATCTGTTTCCCCTTTTATTGCCTTGAGGATGCAGGTCTTCTAGAAGCAGCTATCTTTTGGCTGATGGAATAGAGAGATGGGAGAGGCAGGTGAATATTGCCAGGCTTATTGCTTTAATCCATAATATCAACATTATTTTATTCTTCTGCCATCACAATATTCCTGTTATTGCTAAATCCTGCAACTTTTTCATTTCGCTCATAGGTGTTATAAAACCACCCCTTCAATTTAGGTCTCATCCTCAGCTTTTTCTCTTTAACATTAACCTGAGGGCAGGAGTTTTAATTAAAACCCAATTTTTCCTTATTTGCAGAAGTGCAGCCCTGTGATTATTCAAAGCGGCAAAACCAGAAGAAAGGGATGGACTCAATGCCACTGAAAGATCCTGTTTTTACTTTTGGTGCCAACAATCCTACTGCATGTATTGCCCTCAAAGACCCAAATCAAAGGTATATGTATTTTTGCTATGATTGCCAAAATATATGTATTTCTTTGCCTACTCCATTCCATATACCACCAGTTCCATATACCTTCCTTTTAAAAAGAGAGAATTTGCAACTTTTTTTCTTCCTTCCCTCCAAAAAATGTGCCTGATGTGTCAGGGCGGCTAAAATTAACATCCCTAATCAAAATTCTTTGTTTGTTCTCTCTCTTTTGTTCTCCTTGATGTTTTTTTTATAATAAATTTTATTAAGTTTTCAAATTTTAAAAACATAAAATAAAACTATACATTATTATCAACATCAAGATATCTTTTGCATCTCCTCACATTTTTCAGTATATGTATTTACTTATTCCTTTACCATTACATCTAATTCTTGCTATAAATCAATATCCTTACATATAAATCTTCTCCGTGGTATATTTACATATTCCTTCATTCTTTTCCTAATTGCCATTTTATTTTATTTTTATTTCTAAACCACTCATACCAGGCATCCCAGGCCCTATAATAAATTGAATCTTCTCTGTCTTTTATTTTCATCATTAGCCTGTCCATCTCTATATGTTCTCCATAATGTTTGTTGTATTGAAATGTTTATATTAAAATCCTTACACTGTTGCAATATCTATTTGTTCCCCTCGTATTAAGACCCATGAAATCAGGGAAAAATGTTGCGTTGCCACCCCCACCCAAGAGAGGAATGCCAACAACTACACGATCGTGAGTACTTGCAAACAAAATGTCCTCCTTTTTCCCCCCTCCCACTTTGTGGCAGAGTGCCTTGGAACGGCTTATAAAACATGTTTTAAATATACCAAATTTCTAATGTCCTCTTTGAATTTGAAAATACTGTTAAAGCCTTGTTTCAACTTCAAAACAAACTATTCTGATAAAATTGGAACAATCTGTTTTGAGAATAGAACTGTTTTAGCAAGATTAGAAAAGCCCAAAGCAATGAAGTAAGTAAGAGTACTCTACAGCCCAAATGTTGGACTCTGAAATGTTTTATAATTCTTTACGAAAATGTACAGGTAGTCGTCAACATACAACTACAATTGAACCCAGAATTCCAATTGCCAAGTGAAATACTGTATTTGTTAAGTGAGTTTTGCCTTATTTTATGACTTTTCTTGCCACCGTTTATAAGTGAATCGTTGCAGTTGGTAAATTAGTAACACAGTTGTTAAGTGTAACCGGTTTGCCCATTGACTTTGCTTGTCAGAAGGTCACAAAGGTAATCACATTATCCCTGGACACTGCAACTGTCATAAATATGAGTCAGTTGCCAAGAATCTGAATTTTGATCATGTGACCATGGGGATGCTGCAATGATTGTAAGTATGAAAAACAGTCATAAGTCACTTTTTCAGTGACATAACTTTGGACAATCACTAAATAAACTGTTGTAAGTCGAGGACTACCTGTATTTAACTTAAATTATTGAAATGTCTGTTTTATTTAAAAAAAAGCAACTGCCATGAGTACAGCATTCGCTATGCACAATAATTGCAGGACAAAATAAATTATGAAAATATCACACAATGTAAATATTTGGTTAGATTGTATTGTGGAGATTGTACCATGTAGATTTGCATTATTATTAATGCATACTAAGCCTTGTACATAAATGAATGTTTGGATACTGTTATAGGCTGATCAAGTAGTAGTGCTTCTGGATGAAGGCATTATGTGGTGAATATCTTAAATTTTAGTAATTTCTCTATATTCCTCTTTTCCATCCGTAAAATAATGAGTGTTCTTGATCTGTTACTAAATGCAAGCAAAATTGCCATCCATGATGCATCACTATTATGTTTGATTTGATAGCCCTATGAACAGATACAGACGGGAGACTGAACTCAAAAACAAAAACAAGTTCCTGGAGAATGTCAAGAGTGAACTGAGTTTAAAAGTGGCAGAAATGCAGGTAGGAAGCAAACCTGGCTTATTTATTATGAGATGAACCAGGTAGAGTATGGGCAGTTCTCATAATTTTCTAATTCTAATTAACTTTTTGAATATGTAAGCCCAGTCTTTCCTCTCCTTTGCTATTTTCATCTTTTAGAGTAATGAGGGCTGTGCTAGTTGTATAAGAATGACAGGCTGGAACTACTTTAAGGGTTTTATATCATCTCACAATATATCATTTTATAAGAGGATTAAAGTCTTCTCTTTGGTGTGGAAAATATTTGCAGATTAATGACTTCTTTAGAGGAGAAAATCTATGTAACTTTATTCTCTAGTATTTCCCTCTATAGACTTGTTTTCAATTCTTTCCTGTTTTTGCTTAGTCCAGAAAAAGAATTAAAAGTAGAGGGAATAGTCTATGGGCTGTTTTTTTTCTTTTCTTTAGTTTATCTATTTTTAAAAAAATCATTTCTCACACTTCCATAAATGTAGCATTCTACAGATATTAATTTATCCATTTATGATTTTTCCAAAGTCCACATATTTGAAGGGCGTCACGTTTGGGAAAACGGAAATCTTCTTTCCTCGGGTCTTTTGATAGTTCCCACTGCCAGAGATGATCAAGGAGAAAGCAAGGAAGCATGATAAAATAGTTTGCCTCAAGTAGGCAATTTGCTTTCTAAGTGTAGTGCCCTAAACTTCCTAGGGTACTGTTAACGTTCATTGTTTGCATGGTGTCCATGTGGATATCTCCCATAGGAGAGGAAAAGAGGATTTGGTAACTTGCCATTAAGAATGCATTTTCATAGCATAGATCTGCCATTTCTTGCACCTGAAATGGCTCTGCCTGCATATTCAAATATTTGTTATGTTCACGGTAATATGTTTCCTAACACTTCAAGCTAGTTCATGAAATAAAGGAGGAGAGGCTTCCAGATAGGAGGGGAGAAATGGATCAACCCTTCCTTTTGCAACCTGTTCCCTAAGCTTGCTATCCTACCATACCAAAACAAAAATTGTCTCAAGGTACACCAAAGTTCCACGCTCCTCCTACATTTTTGAAATGATGGAATACTGGGTAGGGAATGAAATTCACTCATAGAGTTAAATCCAGCCACCAACACTAAGCTACTGTTTTATGAGATTAGTGAAATCCTACTTCATGTAGCACATTTTCTAAATCTTGAGAAATCATTATCATTGCTGATATTTATAATAGCCACGAGCAAATAATGTCCCTCCAAATAAAAAGGTAGTTCTATTGCACAATTCTTCATCTTTTCTTACGCCCTTATTTATTTCTTTAAAGACCTAAGAAAAATAGGCGCTTTTCTTAATCTGCCTTTTGGTTTGGCCTCCGCAGAAGGATATGACTGATAGGAAGAAGCTGTGTGATGGTCTTGAAAAAGAAAATGAGAAGCTGAAAAAATTTCAGGAAAGCTGCCTCTTGATATTAGAAGCCAAGAATTGGGACCCAGGTAAAGCATTTAACATTATGTGCTAATTGCAAACAAGACAATCATATACAATATTATTTCTGTCACTCTTTCCTCCAGCAGAAGGCTAAAACTCCTATGATGGTAGGGCCCTTTTCATGTAATTAAGAATGCCTAGACTAGTGTTTCCCAAAGGGTGGTCCATGAGCCATTGGTGCTCTAGGAAACTTCACCAGGTAGTCCAACACAATCTGTTTGCCACTATAGCCTGCATCCGCTTCCAAACTGTCAATCACCTGCTCAAGTCTTTTTAATATGAGAGACTCACTATTTAAAGGTATCTATTGAACATTCTCCACTGGTGAATTGGTGCCAAAAGTAGCCATTACTATGTAGCACTGTATACATAAAGCAATTCAAATGATTAATAAACTTTTAAGTTTAGATTAATTTTTAATATTTTAAAAATGCTTTAAAAATGGAGAGGATGGGAAATCATATAGAAATGCAACTGTAACAATTATCTTATATGCTGAAAATGTCCATCTCAGAGATTCAAACAAAGGGAGAAATTTCATCATTTAATTGGGTGGGCCCCACATTTTCCTGCTGTTTATTTAGTGCAGAAAGTTTGTGAAACGTTGGCCTAGACTATGTGGTACAATGTAGAATCTAGGTGGTAAAAAGCAGGGAGATGTTTATTGTACTCTGTTTTGTTATGTATGGACTAAGCCACTTTAAAGTTCAACCGCTGAATAAATTATTAGATAATCAGTAATTCTTATAATTAGGCCAGGACAAAAATCTTTCCCATTTTTGCTGCCCAACTGAAGGGTTGATGGTTAAATGCTTTTTTCACTCAGAGCATATGCTCTGCCTCTAAAATATGATCCCCTTGTATGAAATCATTCTGATTCATGCGATACTATTCGGAAACAGATGTTTTGGAATTTCTTACCAAAGGAGGCAGCAGAATAATTCCAGAGTTGCTTGCCTTCTGTGCTTCCAGTTGAATGAGAACTGGATACTGAACTGAATACAGCCTGTATATTTGAAATACAATAAAATATTTGAAAATCAGTTACAGGTGAACAAATTTTGGAGGAGGAAGAAATGAACAAGAAGACACAAACGGAGATAACGGTAAAAATATGATTCTTTTACTATTCCCAAGGAGAAATCTAATCTAATCTGAGACAGTCTTAAGATTTTGTTACTAACCTAGTAGTTCCAAAACATGCAAATGCAAGTAGATAAATAGGTACTACTTTGGTAGGAAGGTAAGAGTTCTACGGGCCTCAGCATTTAGTCATGCCAGCCACATGACCATAGAAGCGGCTTTGGACAGTGCTGGCTTCCTCAGCTAGGAAACGGAGATGAGCATTAGAGTCAGACATGACTAGACAGGAGAAACCTTTAACTTTTTAAAGCAAAGGACAGGGTACAGGGTACAAAAACTAATAGTTGAATCTTACTTCTGGATTGGCAACTGGTTAGTCTTATCCATTTTTTCTGAGGGTGGTAGCCTAACTAAGGGAGTGTAGAGTTAAGGCTATGTGATAAAAGGTTGTTGAATGGCTTTCTGAGTGTGTTTTTTCCAGTGCTTGTTTCTGAGGTGGCTTCTTTATTCTATGGCTAGCTGTTGGATTTAGTTTATGAACCTAGTCATGGGAATACAAAAGCTTTACTTTTAATTATGAATTAGAAGTTGATTTCTAAGTGTTATTTCTAATGTCTTTGCCTTTCAGGTTTTATCAGACAAACTTAATGCTGATCTTGAATTGTTCATCCAAATGGCTAAAGAGGAAAAAGAAAGTCTTCAGGTAAAACTAGGATGGATTGCCCCTTCAGATATATGTATATTACTACCATACAACATCCGTGTTTGAACCTTTTAATGCTTTTATTCTAACCTTATTCTAACAACTTCTGTATATCTATAGAAAAAAGAATCTGTGAATTTTCTTTTGGCATGTAGTAGTTACTATTTATTTGTATGTATGAATTCCAAAAGACTCACTTTGTTTTGTGCAAGCAATTTTTGACAGATGTTTCACACCTAACTGACATACAGGTGAAACTCGAAAAATTAGAATATCGTGCAAAAGTCCATTTATTTCAGTAATGCAACTTAAAAGGTGAAACTAATATATGAGATAGACTCATTACATGCAAAGCAAGATAGTTCAAACCATGATTTGTCATAATTGAGATGATTATGGCTTACAGCTCATGAAAACCCCAAATACAATCTCAGAAAATTAGAATATTACATGCAATCAATAAAACAAAGATTGTACATAGAACAATATCAGACCTCTGAAAAGTAGAAGTATGCATATATACTCAGTACTTGGTTTGGGGCCCTTTTGCAGCAATTACTGCCTCAATGTGGTGTGGCATGGAAGCTATCAGCCTGTGGCACTGCTGAGGTGTTATGGAAGACCAGGATGCTTCAAGAGCGGCCTTCAGCTCTTCTGCATTGTTCGGTCTCATGTCTCTCATCTTTCTCTTGGCAATGCCCCATAGATTCTCTATGGGGTTCAGGTCAGGCGAGTTTGCTGGCCAATCAAGCACAGTAATCCCACAGTCATTCAACCAGGTTTTGGTGCTTTTGGCAGTGTGGGCAGGTGCCAAGTCCTGCTGGAAAATGAAGTCAGCATCCCCATAAAGCTCATCTGTGGAAGGAAGCATGAAGTGCTCCAAAATCTCCTGGTAGACGGCTGCGTTGACCCTGGACTTAATGAAGCACAGTGGACCAACACCAGCAGATGACATGGCTCCCCAAATCAACACAGACTGGAAACTTCACACTGGACTTCAAGCATCTTGCAGTGTGTGCCTCTCCATTCTTCCTCCAGACTCTGGGTCCTTGGTTTCCAAATGAGATGCAAAGCTTGCTCTCATCAGAAAAGAGGACTTTGGACCACTGAGCAACAGACCAGTTCTGGTTTTTTTTTTAGCCCAGGTAAGACGCTTCTGACGTTTGTTGTTCAGGAGCAGCTTGACAAGAGGAATACGACATTTGAAGTCCATGTCCAGGATCCGTCTGTGTGTGGTGGCTCTTGGTGCACTGACTCCAGCCTCAGTCCACTCCTTGTGAAAGTCCCCAACACTTTTGAATGGCCTTTTCCTGACAATCCTCTCCAGGCTGCGGTCATCCCTGCTGCTTGTGCACCTTTTTCTTCCACACTTTTCCCTTCCACATAACTTTCTATTAATGTGCTTTGATACAGCACTTTGGGAACATCCAACTTCTTTTGCAATTACCTTTTGAGGCTTTCCCTCCTTATGGAGGGTGTCAAGGATGGTTTTCTGCACAACTGTTCAGGTCAGCAGTCTTTCCCAAGATTGTGATTCCTACTGAACCTGAGAGACCATTTAAAGGCTCAGGAACCTTTTGCAGGTGTTGTGGGTTCATTAGCTGATTTGAGTGGGACACTTTTGAGCCTAGAATATTGAACCTTTTCACAATATTCTAATTTTCTGAGATTGTGGATTTGGGGTTTCCATGAGCTGTAAGCCATAATCATCTCAATTATGACACATCACGGCTTGAACTATCTTGCTTTGCATGTAATGAGTCTATCTCATACAGTATATTAGCTTCACCTTTTAAGTTGCATTACTGAAATAAATGAACTTTTGCACGATATTCTAATTTTTCGAGTTTCACCTATATGTAAGAAGGGACAAAGTTGTTCTGTTGAAACTAAGGACAGAAGAAAAACCTACAAGTTGAAACTAAAGTAGATGCAAGTTGAATCCTGTACTAGAAAGAACTTGGTGATAGTAACAGCTGTTAAGCAATAGAACAATGTGCCTAGAAGAATGTGACACATCCATTTTCTTTCCTGGAAGATTTGAAAGGAGGTGGATGACCCCTTGTTGGGGGTTAGATCAGTGGATTCATGCACAAAGTAGGGAGTAACTAAATGACAAAAGTCTGCTCCAGCTCTGAGATTTCCTGTAGTCTTCTACTTACAACCATTCATTTAGCAACTCTTCAAAACTTACAGCAGCATTGAAAAAACTGACTTACAACCAGTCTTTGTACTTATCACTGTCAGAGCCATGTGATCAAAATTTGGGCAATTGGCAATCCACAAGTATTTACAATGGTTACAACATTCTGGGGTAGCATGATCACCATCCAAGCCAGATTCTAACAATAGAGGAAGCTGGATTTGTTTAACTATGTCGTTACCTTACTGTGATTCACTTAACAACCATGGCAAAAAGATTATAAAACAGCATGCAATTCATTTAACAATTCCCTTGCTTAGCAGTTAAAATTCTGGTCTCAAGTTGAGTACTACCTGTACATCAATTTTCACAACTGTAGAATTTATTAAATGCAATTGTAATAAGGTAGACATTGCTACTTAATCACTTTTTTCTTTACAGAATGCTCAGACCAGATGGAAGCAGATAGAGGAGGAGAGGACCCATTTCTTAGAGGAGCAACAGTCTTTTGATAGAGAAATGGAAGAGCTGCTTGCTGCCTTAAACCAGGAAGTTGACTTCTTAAACTCATCATAGACTTAGGTTGAGATTAAGTTTACCATGGATCATTTAACCAATAACTCATATTCTACAGAATAGTTAGAAATGTAAGAAGATACTAAACTTAAGATTGAACTGTACATACCAGAGGAATTTAAAAAATATTGTTTTTCATGTTTTTGTTTTGTCCTGATTTTGGAAGAAGCTAGTCTAGATATGTGAGATATACTCTGTTATCTTACATCTTTCAATCTTTCGGTTTTCTGTCCCTGAAAAGAACCCTAGTTAGTCCCCAAATATTAATTTACAGACAGAAATGTTTATTCTCCTATTTATCGGGATTGAAGAGCTTTACATATGTCATGTGCAGGCTCTTCAGATTGAAGTTCAGCTTTCATCAGTCCTAGCTAATATGATGACAAAATATTGCTGAAGTTGTTTCCAAAATAAGGGGAACAATCTATACTATATTATAAAATATTTAAGCTGTTCCATTGGTAGCCCATTTTAATGTATCAGTGGGCAGCAAACAAGGAATAATGCATTTATGTATAGTTGACATTTTGAATAAATTCTTGATGTAAATGGCAATACAAATTTACTGATTTAAGTTTTACTTCTAATTACTTATGTCATCGGCAATCTCTAAGAAGGTATAGAAAACATCTTAGGTGAAACATCTAAGTGAAAATATTTCAGCATATTTTTAAAATATGTAAGATTTTTGAAGACTTGGACCATCCACTTTCAGTTTCTGTTTCAGAAAGAAAGGTATTTTATTATTAAGCTGCATCATCACATCCTCTGTTAAGCACATTGGCTACAGGTGTATTCTACAGCTCTCTTTCCGCATCTACAGTCTTCACATCCTTCCATTTAAGATTGATTTTTTTTTCTGATCTTCCTAAAATATTTGGCACCAGTTTTTCTTTGGCTTTCCTCATCTTCTCTGACCATCTGGTGGTATCTAATTGATTGCAGACTTTGTTGGATGTTGCTCATTCATGCAGAGCTTGTGTCCAGTAAAGCCCATTCTTCGTTTTGACACTGTTTCAGAGTCTTCAAGAATTATTTATTTGTAGAATTTCCTCATTTGTGACGTCGTCCCAATATGAGATATGAAGAATTCTTCTGAAGCAATGTTGTTGAAAGATGTTGATCTTATGAATAACTCTTGTAGATTTCCAATCTGACTGGCATAATGGCAGTTGGTATATATATGGCATCAAATGATCTGATCTTAGTTGCTGTGTTTATGGCGGTTGTGGTCCATACGGAACACATTTGTTGGAAGACAGTAGTTGCTTTGCCTGTTCAGCATTTCACATCTGCTTCAGTTCCCCCATCTATCATATCACTAAGATAGTTGAATTGTTCCACAAATTTTAAGGCCTGTCCTAATGTTATTGGGGTATTGTATTGAACATTCCAATTTGCTTGGACTTGTCTTCACTGATTTCTAAGACCACTTTACCTGCCGCTGCTTCAAGTGCCAGCGTCGTATCAGCTGTGTCTTAGTGTTTGCAAGCAAAGCAATGACATCAGTGAAATATAAGTCAGTTTACCTTGTTTATTCCATGTAATGCCGAAGTCCAATTTATTCATTGCCTTTTTCATGCTAATCAGAATGGTTATGAGAAATATAACAGGGATAAGACATAAACCAGTATTAAGTAGTCAGGACTGCCATTTTCAGTTCTTACACAGCACCTAGCGTTGTAAAAGTTTCTAAAGATATTAACTTATATCTAGGGTTATAGTATGTATGTTTCATAATGATTCTCTATTGATACACTCAAGTGTTTTTTTAAAAAGCCAATAAAGTTAACTCCTCTGATTTTGGTATTCCTTACTCTGTTTAATGATACTTCGCAGTGAAAAGATCTGTTCATTGCAGGAATGAATCCAGTTTGTTCTTCGTGTATCCATCATTCAGTCTTGTTTTGGAGTCTTTTAAATAGGACAGTGTATAGCGATTTTCCAGGGACTAAGAGAAGCATGATATGCCTACAATTGTTACCTAGGTTGTCTAAGGCTTCATCTATAATGAGAACCATTCAATTATATTTACTGTATTAGTTTGCCTAAGGATAAACAAAATAATTAGAAAAAAAATGCTTAAGACTTTCATTCAAGTTAAGTTGGTTGTGTTTTTTTTAGTCAGCCTGCACAGGAATGCATTGGGCCATTCTGCTGTCAGTAGGGAGGCGCTGTTAATTAAAACCGATCCCTATTTATGAGAATCTGCCTGTTTTCCGGATTAATTTCCCTCTTTCGGTTTTTGAAACTTAAATGACACTAGGAAAAAATGCTTTACTTGCTATGACTACGGGGAAAGTGGAAGAAAGGAGCCTTAAAAAGCATGGATGAAACCTCGCAGAAGAATCGGGCTGAAAGCGGAGTAGAGGAGGACGGCGCCAAATCCTCCTCAGCCCCTTTGGGCAGCGAATTCCCGTGAGCCTGGCGAAGCAGCCGAGAGAAACCGTGGCTCTACACTTTGTGAGAAGCACAGCACCGTCTTGCCGTCGATTGGCTGCTCCCCTTTATTTCGAGAGTTCCCAGTGGGCAGTTAAGCCTGGCCCCCTCTCGCTGATTGGTCAAAGAAAGCGGTGGGGATCCTGCCAGGATCGGCCGGAGTGGGAGGTCGCTGCGGAGTTCGTGATGGCGGCTATCGGGCTGATCAAGAAGGGCGCCACCGGCTGCTCCCGACGCTGCTTCCTCGGAGGCTTGTCATTCTGGCGGCGGGGCTGCGCCGGGCTCCCGGTGGATGATACGGTGAATGGTTTGAACGCGGAGCAGCGGCAGGTATACCCGGCAGCTTCTTATAGCGTTACAAAACAAGCGTCCTCTGCCTTGCTTCCTTCTTGCAGCCTCCGCCGACCTGCTGTTGGCCTTCCTGTTGTGTGCTCGTGCAGGGATTCCATGAACGGGGCCGGACCTATTCTGGATTACTCTGCTCTGGATTACGCGGGAATAAGAATCGCAAAGAGGCGGACGGGGGATCCTTGTATGCGCCGGCGATGAGAAACGCATCTACCCTGTCAGATACACTTAAGAAAGTGTTCGCAGATAAAATGAGTTCAAGGTGTGAGAAATGGTGTTAACATGAATGACCTAGATAAGCAGAGATGAGTTTTATAACTCCCAAGACAATTGGAGTTTATATTCTAAATTCATTTTTTGGGTGGTAGAGTGGCATTCAAAATTAGCAAGGTTATTTTCAGTGGAACTTTTTGGTGGGCATGTGGGCAACGATAATACATGTAATCCTCTTATGAGTTATTGCTGGGCTATAATGTGATATTGGGTTTGATTTTAATGTATTGTCTGAGTCTAGCATTGTGGTTTGTAAAACATAGCTTATGGCTTAGCCAGAATTGCTTTATTAATTAAAGATGGTTAAATATTTTATCACTTAGTGTAATCTGCAAGTCAGTCAAAGGGCATAGCAGGGTATTATAACATATCAAGTAGCCTACTTTGAACCAGATTTGAGATGTGGTTTGTGTAATAACTAAGCCTGACAAACTGCGCCATTTCATTTTAGCACATGGCTTTTTTTTTCTTTTGTGGAAATATCTTTGATTGCAAAGGTAAACATAATATATATTTTTGAATTACAAAAAGTTTTGGGTATGCCCAAATCATAGATTTTTGTAATTGGTGCTACTAAATCTTATTCTACAATATTGCAAAGTATATTTAAGTGCTTAAACAGACTAGGCATTGAACAATAAACCAGATTTCGCCTATGAAGTGTTTGTTTTGCAATCAGTATGGTACTATTATGGATATGTTTAACACTGCATGGCATTTAGATATAAAGTTCTCCAGCTGAGTATCTGTAGTGTACTACAGTGAAAAACAGCCGTCACATATGGATCTTTTGTAGAAACTAGCAACTTCATTTGCAGAATTATTTATGTATTTATTTGGCTTTTGTGCTTCTTCAGTCTACAGTCTCCAAGCAGCTGAGAAATTATTGTTTTCCTAATTCATTCTAAAAGATAATAGATAACAGAACAATAGTCAACAATAAACAAACCACCACAAAATTAATAATACAAATACAAAATAGTCACTGTAACCACCACTTCATTTTGAAAACAATTCTATACTCAACTGTGTCCAAAAGCCCTCCAGAAAAACCAGATCTTAACAGCCCTATAAAATCCTGAGTTGGGAATATTCATGTGCATGGGGGTAAGCTGTTGCAAGTGAGTTATTTTCACTCTGTGTATCCATTTGTTATCTGACTTGCAGTGAACATTGCTTCTCTCCTTGATTAGTAGAAATAATTAACCAGTAGAACAGGTTGCCTTCAGAAGTTGTAGGTGCTTCATCACTGGAAGCTTTTTAAGAAAAGACTGGACAACCACCTATCTGAAATGGTATAGGGCCATTTGTGCGGGCACACGGGTTCCAGCCAAACTTACCTGCACTGTGCATTTTCGGCCCATTTGAGGCCTTTTTCACCCTCCTGTGGGCTTGAGGCAAGCCTGTGCACCCTTTGGAGGCCGAAAAATGGGCTTTCCGGAAGTGCTGAAACCAGAAGTGCCGAAACGGGCCTGTTTTTCGGCCTCCAAAGGCTGCAGAGGCTTCCCTTGAGCCCCCAGGAGGGCAAAAACTGCCTCAAATGGGCTGAAAATCAACTGAGAGGTATGTGCATGCGCAGTGCAGGTAAGGGGGGGTTACGTGCGCATGCGCAAGGGCGGCATTGCATTGTGGATGCTGGCACATGCATGTACTTTCGGCACACCACAACAAAAAGGTTCGCCATCACTGGTATAGGGTCTCCTGCTTGAGCAGGTGATTGTATTAGAAGGTCCCCTCCAGCTCTATTCTGATTGATTAATTAACGAAGACAAATGTTCCTCTTAGCAGACTTGAGCTATGTCTTTACATGGCTATGTCTAGAACGGCTCTGTTGATCTTGTTGGCTTGCTTTTTTTTTTTAAAGAAAAACCTTTAAAACAGATTGCTTGCTTTGTTTCACTTTGTTATCTTCATTACTATGTTGCATTGATTGGTTATGTTGATAGCTAAAAATCCATTGTATTTTCTCTCTTTGGTTTAATGAAGCATAAAAATAGGATTATAATTTATACTTACCTGCTTGACCTCTAGGTAGTGGTAAATTATGAAAGGCAGAATTGAATTATATTCAATGTATCGGTGAATAAATGCTTTGAGAAAATCTTTTTTGGTCCTCTTTTGATTCTATTTATGGTAATAAGAAAATAAATACCAACAATATGGTGGTGAAAAGACATAAAACATAGGTAGTCATTCATTTAGTGACTGTTCAAAGTTATAATTACACTGAAAAAAGTGACATGATTAGTTTTCACAATTACAATGGCTGTAGCATCCCCACAATCACATCAAAATGTGTGTGCTTGGCAACTGGCATGTATTTATGACAATTGCATTGTCCCAAGGTCATATAATCATCATTTGTAACTTTCCCAGCTAGCTTTCGGCAATGGGGGAAGCCATATTCACTTTAATGACCATATGATTCATTTAACAGCTATAGTGATTCACTTAACAATTGTGGTTAAAAAAAAGTCACAAAGTGGAGTAAAACTTACTTAACAAATGCCTTGCTTTGTAATGGAAATTTGGGGCTCAATTGTGGTTCTCTGTTGAGGACTACCTGTTTCAAGTAATATTAACAAATAATAGTATAGGAATCCACATATAACAAAAGAGAAAAAAATATCAATTTATATAATTGTTGAAACAACTTCAGAAAACCTGGCCAGTTTGTTCAAAAAAATCTTATTCCTTTGTCCTCTGTCCTTAGAAATTAGATTTAATCAAATATTGACAAACAGCACATCACAACAATCCTTCACTGCAAATTAGATAAAATTACCAAGGATGGACAACCCAGTGCCCTCTGCTGGTTAACTCAGGGTAGATGGGAATTGAGATCTAAGATATGTGAAGACCATGTATTGTCTATACTTGATTTCACATGTACTGTATCAGTTGTCAACATTAATGGGCTGAGCCATCCTCTTGAGCTCTTCAGAATCTCTATTGAGTCTAAACCTCTAAAGAAAGTAGGATTCTTGCTAGATGGACAGAAATGAGTGTGAAAAGCTATCTATATATCCCTCCTGAGCATTTTACATTCATTCATTTATACAAATTATGAAGCCATCCATCTCATTGAAGAAAAAAACTAATAAAACAAAGTATAAAACAAAGTACAAAATAAACAGGTTTCCATATGTGACTAAATTCATAAATTTAGTATCATAGATTTTTAAATTAGAAACAATATTTTAAAGAAAGCCAGTGGTACTTGCTTCATTTCCTCGTCCAAAAGGTTGTGGGTACATCCAGGTCTTTTAACACCTTACAGAAAGAACATTCAGATTTTGGAAAAACGCATATAAACATTTAATAATGGAATTGCATAGATTCCTTAATGCTTAAACCTGGCCGCTACTCCACTATTCTTTTCTCTATATGCTTTTTCTCTTTTAATTGAAAACTGTCCAGAATCTTTAGGGACTCAGGCAGCTTGATAATCAAATAAAGTAAATAAAAATCGGTCTTTACCTGTTGTGATTTTGAGGACCCTTCCTCAAAAGGGCTGGATTTTCCTTATGTCAAAAGTAGCCAACCTTGGGGAATACTAAATTATTAACAGTAGCTTTCCAACATAATTTATTCATTAGAGTCTTGCTATATCCCAAGAACAGGTTAAAATAGTTTCTCCTGTTGTACCTATGATAACATTCCTGAAGCCATGGAGTTAAATCCTAAGGAATATTATGGACAATAAATAGAGCTTCTATGGTGTTCTCTCATAGTATGCTTGAGGTATCAAACAAATGCAGTACAGAACGCTCTGCTAAGACTGAATCATTAGATCAAAATCCCAATTTCCCTCAGAGGAAGTTCAGATAACTACTCAGGGACAACCCCACTTCCCAAGGGATTGTGCAAAGAAACAGAGATTATGGGAATAATAGCAAACAGGTTAGGACTATGAAATCGTGCCCTAACTCAGCTATGCAGGTCCCACAGGAACTGTTGCTGTCCATCACAATTTTTTTTTCTCAATGACACAAATTCATTTCAGTTGTTAAATAATAAAACTAAGTACTTACTGATTCACACAAGTACAAAGGGGAAGCCTCCTACTCAGCTGATAATTATCTTGTATTGCAAATGATATTTCTTTTTAATGTTAAGCAAGAAAATGTTGGTTTCTAATATGCATTTTTATTGTATTTTGGACAGCTTAGGCAAACCATGACCAAATTCTGTCAGGAACACTTAGCTCCAAAGGCTCAAGAAATTGATCGGGATAATGAATTCAAAAATATGAGGGTAAGTGCTTTCAATAGACATGCATGTATCTGACTCAGTGATACAGCCAGTATTTTTTAGTAATTTTATTTCCTTAGCCTAATGCCTTTCAGATAGACTTCACAATTCCTCTTACCCCATATTGGCCTGGAAAGCATCAACTTGGAGATGATAGAACTATGTATTAAATTTTTAGAATGTAAATGTATGTAACATAAATATACAAATACTGAAGAATCAAGTTGTTATGAAATATTACTTGTTAGAAAGAATAAATTTAATTAAATGTCTAAGTAAAGTCTTTCTTGTAAACTCAATTTGAACACTGACAAAAACAACGCTGTCCCTGATTATTTTGTTTGGAATTTACTGCAGTTTAAAAAATTTTAAAATAGGGCGTTCAGATTATGAAAAAAAAAATGGTGTTAAGAGTGTTAATCTTCTAAAACATGGAATTCCATCCAAAAGTAACTTTTTATAAGAGAGAGTTATTTTATGGGACATAATTTTACTGCTTGTGTTTTTATCAAACCCTTTAGTATTTAAGAAGTTTATCGTCAGAATTTTGTACATTTTGTCCTTGTTAGGTTTATTAAAATACACTTGTTTGTTTTTGAAATCAGTTCTGTATGTTCTAATCTAATCTATGACCATGCATATGCAGCTTAAATAATAACTATAGCATAGAATATGACACTGGTTACCAATAGAGGCCATTGCATTCATTTTCATGGAAATACACTCACACTGCTTGTAAAAGCTTCACTGTGTACAATCATACACAAAAGCTGCTAGCTAGCCTATTAAGGGTTACAGGGCACTATTCTTTTTCAAACAACCTGTTGTATTTGCGTGCTGGGGTCAGAAGACCCCAGCACGCTATTCTATTTCCTTTCTGACCTTGGTTTTCTCTCCTCTGACCCACTCATAGCAAAATAGCTACTTGTCCTCCCTTCTAAAATATAGGCATCTTCTTTGGAGTCCATTAAAAAGTGATCATGGCTGGGAACTTACCCTGAAACAGGGTTGGGTGAAATGGTAACTCCAACAGGAAAAAAAATGGTGACACCTAAAATATTAGTAAAAGGCTATTGAAATCTTGGTCTCAGAATGAAATAATGAAATAAGGCCAGTGTCGTGTGATCAAAGGGAAATATGCCAGGGTTGTAAAAGGAAGAAAGGAGCATGATAATTGGAGTGGTAATGGCAAGGGATCATGGTCCATCTGCTAGGTGAGGATTGAATGAAGTTTTTGCTAGCAACTACGGTGGAAAACATCCCAGTTTGAGAGGTTTATGCTGTGGTTTCAGTTTTGTAAAACTTCGAAACTTATATGTTCAATGCTAGCTTATTTTACTAAAAACTTTTTTACTTGATATTTTAGATAGTCATTTATTTTATTTCACTCAGTCATTTTAGCTAACACTAGCCTGCTACTCTTCCAGAACTATTATTGAAATATATGAGCCTTCACTTTTTGTACATCTTCCTCTTCTGTTTACCCACTCAAATATTTCTTCAGCAGTTATAAAAAGCAACACACAATCTTTTTTCCTTTTGAGCTAAAAGTCCCAAAGGAACCATCCCGAAAGCAATCTCTGTGCTTTTTCTAGCTATGGATATATGGTAAGTAAAAATATTACTATTAGTAATATTTTTAAATATTAGTAAAAAGGTGATAGCAGGAAGTTTTTCATTTATCCACTCATGATTCCAGCAACTACATGGCACTTTTAGACAATTGAATTATATGGTATAGTGTAATATATTATGTATTATATTTTTATGTAATATATTTTTACATTTATCTGAGGAAAATTTAGCTGTTGTTCCCAAAACAATGGGAAAGGAAAAAAAAATAGTTTCCTAAACTCTGGTGTATGTTTTGTGGAACTAAAAATTTCCATTCAGAAATTTACTTACAGACTTTGGTGAAAGACACCAATTCTTCCTGGATGCTAAAGTTCAGACTAATCTATAATATACTGTATTTCATTTTATTTATACTTGATTGTAACTGCGTTTGAGCAGTATTTTGCAGCAGTTTAGATAGAACATCATGTGAAGCAGTGGTGGGATTCAAATTTTTTTTACTACCAGTTCTATGAGCGTGGCTTGGTGGGCGTGGCAGGGGAAGGATACTGCAAAATCTCCAGTCAGAGGGGGTATTTGCCAGTTCTCTGAACTACTCAAAATTTCCGCTACCGATTTTCCAGAACTGGTCAGAACCTGCTGAATATCACCTCTGACATGAAGGCATTTGGTATGTTAGAGAGAGATTATGGCAACAAATACCTGCCTGGAAACAAAACAGACAAACCTTATACATTAACAGCTAACTATTAAAAATATACAGGTAGGCCTCGACTTATAACCACAATTGAGCCCAAAAATTCTGTGGCTAAGTGAAACATTTGTTAAGTGAGTTTGCCCTGTTTTATGACTTTTCTTGCCACCGTTGTTAAGTGAATCACTGTAGCTGTTAAATTAATCCAACTGTTGTTAAGTGAATCTGGGTTCCCCATTGATTTTGCTTGTCAGAAGGTCGCAAAAGGGGATCAAGTGACCCTGGGACCATCAGGAATATGAGTCAATTGCCAAGCACCTGAATTTGGATTACTTGATCATGGGGATGCTACAATGGTCATAAGTATGAAAACTGGTCATAAGTCACTTTTTTCAGTGACGTCACTTTGAACGGAGTTGAACATAAGTAAAAAATTTAGACTGCTTTTTAAATATGTTACAATGTAAGTTATTTGATATAGTAAGTTTATACTTCCTAATAAGTACTGGGGTATATTTTTATCAGATAATTTGATAGAGTGCATGGTGTTTGATTTTTCATATATGTTGAAATGCCATTTGCACCATTTAAGAATGTCCGCTTCCAAGGTATCCATTTTCGTAAATAATGTGGTCCTTTGATCCTAAAAAAATAACTTCTTACATAATTATTTAAATTGTAAATGGAGCTAGGAGTTCAGGGAGATACTTAAAGTAATCCTAGGAGTAGAAGGTCCCAGCCTCACAACTCAAATCAGGGCTGACTGTTCTAAGAGGGGGCAGCTGAACTATAACAGTACTATAAGGTACTTATCTCAAAAACTGTTCACAGGGATTATTGGTGTGAATGAAGCCACATACAGTGAGGTAAATCAGTTCTGCCATTTCTTAAGAGTTACAGTTTCTCTAATCTACAAAAACAATTTCTTTCCTCATTCTATATATACTGTAAGCCAAAAGTCAATCCAAGAATTTTATCTCAAGGGAGGGATGATAACTTCGGTAATAAAATGCACATTTTCCTTAGAGACAGTTCTTAGATTGAGTTACTAGTGAGTCTAGCTAAAGAATTCCAAATAGCAAATCTGGGAGAGGCTTAATGTATAAACCTTACTGGCCCTTGAGTAAACCAGTTGCAGCTTCATATTTGTTCCAAATAATGTTAGGTTGCACTTTGCAGCATCTAGGTCTTCCCAAGGGAGCATTTAGACCACAAAAACGATCTAAGAGAAGGCTATAGAAAGAAAGTGGGGGGGGGTGGGTTAGGGTGTTTAAAGTTTGTAGAAAACGCAAGATCTTCCTATAAAATTTAATTGGCACAATTCTGTTTTGCTTAACATCTTATTTTTTATTGGATTACTTCTGAAAATAATGAATGGAAGAAAACTCCTTTTTAGCCCTACCAATTGCTGCTGCTGCAGATACCATTTTGTTCAGTGACTGTGAATCCAAACTAATAGTTAATTTGTGGTTGAGCAGCAGTTAAATCTTAGGGAAACTGTATAGATAGTCCTCAACTTATAACAGTTCATTTAGTGACTGTTCAGAGTTATAACAGCAGCAAAAAAAAGTGACTTATTGTTTTTCACACTTAATGACCGTTGCAGTATTCCCATAGCCACATGATCAAAATTCGGGTGCTTGACAACTGACTCATATTTATGACAGTTGCAGTGTCTCAGGATCACGTGATCCCCTGTGGCATGAAAGGTCATAAAATGGGGCAAATTTCACTTAACAGATGTTTCACTGCGCAACAAAAATTTGGGGCTCAATTATGGTGATAAGTCAAGGACTACATATACTTAAGGGCCAGCTCAGTGTAGCAGTTAAGAAGTTAGATTTGGACTGTGGAGTCCCATGTCCAACTTCATCCACTGTCATGGATCAAATGTATTGCCTTTGTTCCCTCTGTCCCATTGCACAGTAAAAATGAAGGGAAATGGCTATGTAAACCACTTTTGAGCTCCTGGAAAAAAGGCAAGATCATCATCATCATCATCATCATTCATGAAGGCCATAAAGCATATCTGTTTTTGCAGTAGAAGCTCTGGCGCGCCACTGTTTCTCACTATTTTAATCGTGTTTAGAATGTTGTTTTTTCAAGCACAGAGACTGGAGGAAGGATTAACCTTCCATTATCCTGTATGTGACAATCTTGCTCAGATCACTGTGGTAACGCTGTTTGCAAAGATGTGGGTGTGGGTGTAAAATAGCACCTGGCTAGGACATCTGAGCTGTGGTGGCATAGTGATTAGATTGCAGTACTGCAGGCTACTTCTGCTGACTGCCAATTGTCAGCAGTTTAGCAGTTCGAATCTCACCGGCTCAAGATTGATTCAGCCTTCCATCCTTCCGAGGTAGGTAAAATGAGAACCCAGATTGTTGGGGACAATATGCTGACTCTGTAAACAGCTTAGAGAGGGCTGTAAAGCACTGTGAAGTGGTATATAAGTCTAAATGCTATTGCTATAGTGCTATTGCTATCTGGCAAACTGCATTTGATTGCACTTTTCTGTGATATATCAGGTGTGATTCCTGGGCAAATACTTTATCATGGTTCATGTTAAACTGGGCAAACATAGTCGGAATTAGTAAGCCAAATACCAATATTGTAAAAATGTTAGCATTCCATATGCTTGCAAATTAATTATTTGCAGTCCAAAAGGGACTAGGGAAAAGACTTTTTAGAGTTTTCCCTCTTAAAGTTTTGGCTTATAAGCTGCCACTAATTAATCTGGAAAACAGCAATTCAGCAAGTAAACTCTAAACCTGAAATATAATCTTACAAGACGCTTCATGTTGAAATGATATTTCAATGCAGAGATACTAGTAATTGTACTTGATAAACAGTGTCACTTTCAAAATTTAATTAATTGGTCTCGCTGCATGGAAAACCTTGTTTTTTTTATCTCAGTGAGCTAATTACCTACCCAATGATGATAGTGTTTATTTAGAGTTGTATCGGATGGAACTGCAAACAAACCACTCTTCAACTGTCCAATCCTTTGTTTGCAATGTTGGGCAATAGATATTTTACCCAGCATTTTATATTGGCAAGGGAGATTAAACTGGGATACTTAAGGACACTGCAAAACCTGGGTGGCCTTACGTTAGGCCAAAATCTTGCTTAAGGCTTTGTTCCACTCTTTATAGGAATTCTGGAAGAAGCTCGGGGAACTAGGAGTTCTGGGAGTAACAGTTCCAGGTACGTACATGCATTCAGCATTGAACAAGCCTTTGTGGCCTATGGATATGCAATACGTGGCGATATGGATATTTTGGACTTGGGGCAATTAGTAATATTTCTAGGCTATATTTGTCTAATTATAAACTTTTCTACCCTTCCACTCCCCAATTCCTTCTAGTTGAATATGGTGGATCAGGGATGGGCTATCTGGACCATGTATTGATAATGGAAGAAATATCTCGGGCTTCAGCAGCAATTGCATTAAGCTACGGTGCTCATTCAAATCTGTGCATCAATCAGTTGGTGAGGAATGGCAACGAAGCACAAAAAGAGAAATATCTACCCAAGGTGTGTAGAAATAAGCCAATTACACAGTAGAACAAAATAATGCAACAACTTGAATAGATATACAGGTAGTCCTCGACTTACAACACTTCATTTAACAGATAATCAGAGTTGGAAGGGACCTTGTAGGTCATCTAGTCCAACCCTCTGCCCAAGTGGGAGACCCTACCCCATTTCTGACAGATGGCAGTCCAATCTCTTCTTGAAAGTCTCAAGTGATGGCGCTCCCACAACTTCCAAGGGCAAGCTGTTCCATTGGTTGATTGTTCTCACTGTCAGAAAGTTTCTCCTTATTTCCAGGTTAAATCTCTCCTTGTTCAGTTTCCATCCATTATTCCTTGTCTGGCCTACAGGCGCTTTGGAAAAAAGCTTCCTCTCTGTGGCAGCCCCTCAAATATTGGAAGACTGCTATCATGTCTCCCCTGGTCCTTCTTTTGTAATCGTTCATTGTATGTTTTAGCCTCCAGTCCCCTAATCATCCTGGTTTCTCTTCTCTGTACTTTTTCTAGAGTCTTAACATCTTTTTTATAATGTGATGACCAAAACTGGATGCAGTACTCTAGGTGTGGTCTTACTAAGGCTTTATAGAGTGGTATTAGTACCTCACTTGATTTAGATTGTATCCCTTTGTTAATGCAACTTAGGACTGCATTAGCTTTTTTGGCTGCTGCTGCACACTGCTGGCTCATATTTAGCTGGTTGTCCACTAAGACTCCAAGATCCCTCTCACAGTTACTGCTATTGAGCCTGGTTTCGCCCAGTCTATATGTGTACTTTTGGTTTTTCTTGCCTAAGTGTAGGACTTTACTTTTGTCTACATTGAATTTCATTTTGTTAGATATGGTCCAGTGTTCTAGTCTGCCAAGATTCATCTGGATCTTGAGCCTATCTTCTTGGGTGTTAGCTATTCCTGACAGCTTAGTATCATCTGCAAATTTGGTAAGTTCCCCTTCTATTCCCTCATCTAAGCCTTCTATTCCCTCATCATTTGTGACCGTTCAAAGTTACAATGGCACTGAAAAAAGTGACATGGCCATTTTTCACACTTACAACTGTTGCAACATCCCCATGGTCACCTAATCAAAATTCAGATACTTGGCAACTGGTTCATATTTATGACGGCCACAGTGTCCCAGGGTCAAGGGGTCTCCTTTTGTAACCTTCCAACAAGGTTCACAGATTCACTTAAAAACCTTGTTACTAACGTAATAGTTGCAGTGATTCGCTTAACAACTGTGGCAAGAGAAGTCGTAAAATGGGGCAAAATTAACTTAACAGGTGTTTCGCTTAACAACAGAAATTTTGGGTGTCCATTGTGGTCATAAGTCGAGGACTACCTGTATTCGTTTTGTTTTAGAGTACAGCAAGTCACATTATTCTGCCTCAATTGTTTTACTTAATCTTTATAAAATGTATTTTGTTTAAGTATTATAGGTAGAAAACAATTTAAAAACATCTGGACTAAAAACCATCTTCAATTTTTATGTCTGATTTGTCGCTACAAATTAATGATAAGTAAAGGAAGCAATCTTATATCTGCAAGAGATATTTACCAAGTCCCTCTAGGTTTGAGAGAGAGCCTGTTTAACACTGAGGTTAGGATAAGTATCTTACATATTTAAGTAGCAGTTAAATATGTAACTATATGTATAGCAGTATATAGTACTATATGTATAGCAGCAGTCTATACATACAGTAAGACTTGCCTAGGAATAAGCACCCCTGAACTTAGTAGGGCTTAATTTTGAGCGAACATCTACAGAAGAGCCCTTTCATACATGTGCTGCAGTTGAACTAAACTGCAGTACATGTGTATGAAGGAGAAGAAAGTTGGAAAATTCAGAGTTTTAAGCTCATGCCTTCCTTTTCAAATATAATCTTCCCTCCACTCATCTGGTTGCCTCTGAAGGCTGATTTTATAGATCTGTTGGTCCCTTACAAATGACAGAGCAAGTTCAGTTGGTGCTTCGTATCTCATGTTGTCTCTTTTCACTTTGAAGGGAGCCTTTTCCATGAACTCAGTTCATATAACCAATTGTCAGTCTTGACGTGGTGTCCAGGTGCATGTGAGCTTGTTCTGTTTGCTTCTCCAGATGCAGAAGCTAATATTTTTTTCCTGTAATAAGGAAACATACACTGCAGGCCTCTATAGTCCTCCCTCATTTGCTTTTGTGCAAGTTAAACACTTTGCAGTGTTTCAAGTAGACTTCTCACACAAGATGTTTGGCTGGGCTACCTCCATATTTGTTTCCTGCCATGACTAGCCTATGGTGCAGTGAGGAAGAGAAAGTATTTGATATCCACAGGAGACTTCTGCAGACTTGGAAAAGCAGGTTCCCAAAGCCCCTGGAAGCCTATTTCTGTTGTGTATTGGTATCAAGGAAAAAAAAGAAATAGTCTTCTGCTAAGTCATTTCATCCTTTCATTTATTTTCTGGCACTGAAAGTTATTGCTTTTCTCTTTTATCATGCAAAATTTTCCATATGAATGTATTTTTAAAACAATATTTTACATCCTAAGCAATAGGATTCCAGATGGTGTCTTTAAAAAATGAAGAATCTGGAATGTGATCTTTAAAAAAAAAAGTGAGGAAAAAGGCAATGCCAAACAAAAAGTTCTTCTGATTTCTACTCTTTCATGATTCCTCGGTAACTTAATGGTAGCCTGTTGTAGCTTTTGGGTGATCTTCAGGGGCAGCCCCATGTAGAGCCAGTTGCAGTAGTCCAAGTGTGAGAACAGTGAAATTAAAACTTCATTTCTGAGGCCTTCAGTCAACAATGCTACTTTTTAGAGACCAAAGACCTTGCTTAGTTTTGAAATGTGTGTCAAGATCCTTTAGTCTTATATATGACAGTTGTGTTTTTTGTTGTTCATATGCAAATATTGACGGATTTTTCCCTTCCTTTTATTGTTTTCTGCTCTTTAAAGTATAAACCACCTAGAGTCACTTTGGAATTAGGTAGTCTCTAAATAAAATCAATAAAAGGTGTGAGCGCAACAAAAACTGAATTTGATTTTATTTAGTTTCTAACTTAACATTCAAATTTCCCTTAACATATTAAGCATTTCCATTTGGTGGCAACTTTGAAGAAGCCCCTAAGAATATGCCTTAGCTGTTACATGCCCTTCTGCAAGCTCTGTGTGATTTGGTTCTGTAGTTTCCGGTCTGGGTTCAGCTGCAATTACAACTTGAAATTGAATCTAGTCTTTGCAATGAGGCTCTTGTCCCAAAGATGCTTTTTCAAGAAGCAACTGGACCTTCTGGTTTTTCTTTGAAGACATTTTGCTTCTCATCCAAAAAGCTTCAGCTTTAACTGGATGATGGGGTATGGAAGGATTTATATTCCTTGCAGACAGCTGGTCATTTGCAATCTTTTAGAGAGTCCTTGAGGCCATTTGGAGGTTTGTCTGTGTCCTCGGGATTACCTGAATAGCGCAAATGGGTGTGGATCTTTCTTGGAACTGCTGAAAGGACTGTGTTGTGGGGCTGTGTTTTCTGCCGAATGTTTTCTGCCCTGTGTCCCTTCACTATTGAACACAGCAAAGGCTTTTGGGGATGAGCCTGTGTTGTGTCCATCTCAAACTGAACCATTTGCGCTTCAGAGCTGAAGAAGCTTCTTGGATGAGAAGCAAAACATCCTCTAAGAAAAAAAAGAAAGTCCAGTTGCCTCTTGAAAAAAGCACCTTTGAGACAACCATGACCCTAAGAATCTCCATAGACAATGAGGGTCTACTACCTTGTGTTCTGTTGTGCTTATGCATCTATGAAAATATCCATACAGTTCTAAAGTAGTTACAGGATGTTGCTCTTCTTAATTCATCGGAAAGCTCTAATATGTACAATGTCTACAGGAGACCTTGAAAAAGATGTCAGTTTTTCTCCTTATTTAACGAATAAAAGAATGAATTTCTGATATGAAGAGGCTTTTGACTTGATTAGTTCCCTATTCTTACCCCTCACTGCTCATCGCTGTTATTGCAGTGAGAACAGTGCAATCACTGCCCAATTGATGCAAAAATGAAATATCTTCCATTTGCGCCGTTACATTTTTCACTTAGAATAGGGATATTCTAATTTTTATTTTTATTTAAATCATCTTTCCCCAAGTGAGTACCCATTATTGCAAGATAGCATTTCATTAAAAACAACTTTGCATTAAGTAGGTGAGTGCCAGAGCTGATGAGCTAATAGTGCTTTAAATACAAACTAAATAAAGAAGGACGACTGTTTCTATATGGTGGACTTGGTGATATTTTTAAAAAAATGCTCTGACAGTTAAAATTTCTTAGTTGTTTTCCATTTATTAAAATCTGGGCTGGAACATTAAGGGAGAACCCATTCTGATTCCATGAAGCAAATTTTCCTTATTCTGTACCATCCTTTCTCCAATTAATAAAATTATTTTTACCCATAATGCTATCAAAAGTGGGTAAATTGTATGGTTTATCTATTTCATTCTTATTGAGAAATGTACAAGTTTACCCAAGCATCTCACTGTCTTAAATTGAAAGGCTGAAGTAATATTAATATGTAGAGTATTAACTATATTGCTTCATTCCAGTGTACTGAACAAGCTTGGAAAAAGAATAGATGTAAATATGGAGATGGCGGGGCTAAAAAGAACAGAAAGCGAGGGAATGAGAGAGCTGTTGTGCCAGGATAGCAAAACTGACTATTTGTACAATTCTATTGTGAAAGTTAAGAACTATTGCAGTTTTAATATATGGGCTGAGATTTTGACATCTTATTCCAGACCCATGGCTTCTGTCCAATTTTTAAACTCTGTTTTCAATGATCTGGTCATTTTTCAAGTATACATCAATTTGGTCCTGTTTTCAAAAGGCAAGAAGGGAGAAGTCCTCATGGAAAGCTACTAATACTTTTGTCTTGGTACCCTTCTCCTAGCTGTAAAGTCCATTCCAAACAATGTTTCATTATTCATTTGCTATAACAGAACTACAGAATATTATCTTGCTTGATGTGATGTTCTACGGTGTCATTAGTAAAATTATTTGGAGCAGCTTTCCAGTGATAACACTTGTTATTGCAGTTCCCCAAAGCATGAAAACAATTTTTTTAACAATTAAAAAAAATAGTAATGATAGCAGCAAAATAGACTTCTTTTTCATCTTATCTTCCCAGTTGATTAGTGGAGAGCATATTGGAGCACTAGCAATGAGTGAATCCAATTCTGGTTCTGATGTTGTCTCCATGAAGCTGAGGGCAGACAAAAAAGGTAAAAATTATTGTGTATACATGGAAAAAAAATGTTTGTAAAAGATATCCAATGCCCCTTGGGCTTCCACTTTTATACATCAAGCTTTTCTAACTATTCTTTTATGTCCAAAAAATTAACTTACGCTAGTTCTGATGTATGTCTGAGCAATTCCCAAGCCAAAGGGATGGAGAACAACTAATGCTGTTGTAAAACACAAGTCAGCATGAAAGGCTGATGAGCTGCCACAGATGTGAATATAACAGTTTTGTCTAAAGCAGCTGTTGCCAGGCTAAATGAAGCTGACAATGTGTTCTCCAGTGGGGATCCTTATTGTCCTATCCTCAGTTTCTCTATTTTCATTGCTGATCACTGCCGATCAACCCACATCCAAGGTTATTGATTGTGAGTGGGAAAATGTGCCCATGATTTCCCCTTTTGGCAACTCTCCCCTGTACTTGTTGCATTCTGTTTAAAAAGCTCTATCAAGTTTCAAGCTTTAGGTACAAAGTAGGCAAAGCCAGGAAATCCTCATTGCTGATGTAGAATTCCATGTGTCCTTTTTTGGATTCAAACCCTCCCCGCAATCCTCCAATTTTGGGCCATCATTGCAGTGGTGTAGAAGTGGTATGATGGTCTAGAGGTGGAGCTCTCACCTCACAATCAGGAGGCTGTGAGTTCAGTCCTGGGTAGAGGCAGATATTTCTCTCTCTGGGCACACTGAGAATATATCTGCTGAACAAAACTCCGCATTGGCAACCGGAAGGGCATCTGGCCATTAAAACACTCCGCTAGCTCCATTCAGTTGCCCAGGCTCCGCCTTGCAAGGGATTATGGGGTTGTTAAAAGATGCTGATTGCAGTGGTGTAGAAGGACCATCTAGTTGAAGTTCATATAAACTCGGCTTTAAGATATTGCATCCACCCAGGTGTATATTGATATAGAAAGTAATTTCTGCGTCTTTTTGATATTCACATTTGCTTTCTCTTGCTTCAGATTTGAGGATTGGGTTTATTGGCAGGGATGGGGAAACACAGAGAACACAGGTTTCTGAGTGTTTCAACCGCTTTAAGCAAAAATTATATGGAGCAAAGTTGTGAGGTGAAAAATAAAATATTGCACAGAGATATGATTGTCATAACTTCATACTGTTTGAGAAGCACTGATCTGTGGACCAACCCTTCTAGCTGACTAATCCTTTGAAGAATGTGTTTTTTGCGTAGGACGACTCTGCTCCAGCGCTAAGTTATATAGTAAGTCTCTACATCTAACTGTAAAAATAAACAGCAACATAAAAGCAAACAGGTATCCAGAATCTGAGAAGAAAAATTTATGGAAATTTCAGTTGTCTTGGAAAGTATAAGACTTTCTGGAAATACATTGACTACGGGTGTTTTGTGAACCAGACAATTAAGCAGTTATCTTTCCTTTCCAGGGGATTATTTTGTTCTAAACGGGAACAAATTTTGGATTACTAATGGCCCAGATGCTGATGTTCTAATTGTATATGCTAAAACAGACCCCAGTGCTGTTCCAGCTTCTCACGGTATAACAGCATTCATTGTGGAAAAGGCAAGTCTCCAGGGTTGTAAAAAAAAAAAAAAAGCTTGTTTTCCTCTTCCATGTAAAATATTTTACACATGTGTATGGATATCATGTCCTTTCAACTGGATGTGAAAGAACTTACTTGTTAGAAAATAAAACAAGCCATGCTCCTGAATTCATTGAAACAACATTGTCTCCAAAATAGAGGCCAACAGTTCCTTCTTCTGTGGCCAATCTTGCATAAGAAACTGAAAAGACCAGGCATTCCGCTGGCCTTCCTTGAGCGTTCTGAGCAACGGTGTTAAGTTTTGCAGAGATAGAGTTGCCTCTGCCCATAGAGTAAGAAGAATTCCAGTGGTGGGATTCAAGAAGTTTTACTATTGGCTTGGTGGGCGCACTTTATGTGCGTGCACACACTTTCCGTGTGCATGCACATCAAACGTGCATTTTGTGTAGGCACAGGGGCGTTCCAACTCACCTCCTGCAAGCCTGCACTCTCACTTCAGCAGCTGCCGCGCAACACTCTGCTGTACCGCGCAAAGCAGCTGTGCTTCAAAAGCAGAGGATAAAGGTGTGTATAGGCGCCTGGGCGGCCGGGTGGGCCCAACAGCAGAGCGGTGGAGAGATTGATTTCCACTGTTCATCATCGCTAAGAACCGGTAGAATACCACCACTGAAGAGTTCCTTAAGAATAGCTCTAAACTGGCAAGATTAGGACCTCTTAAAATAATAATTTACCTTGTGATGTTTAACTTCAGTGAGCTCAAGGAAGTTCTTCTCTGAGTTTCTGAACTGGAACAACATAGCCTACATGATGATGGTGTAAACCTATTTGATGGCATTTTTATTTTAAACTAATTTTACAGTCATTCCCATGTCCATCTTTGTGTAAATTAAGAACCATCTTGCCACATCCGATAGGAAAGTCTTGTTAAAAGGATTGAGCCATTATGATTTTCTATATGCATATTCATAATTAGTGAATCACCCTGAAGCCTCCGCTGACTATATATTGTAAACAGTTTAATAACTAGTATTACAGATAGAAGAGATCGAGCATTGAATGAGTAGAAGGCAAGTAATGGAACATTAGAAATCAGGAAACTGGAACAAGATTTCATTTCATATCAGAACCATGAGCCCAGACTCTTTACATCCCTAATTTAGTTAGAGTGCCATGTTACCTTGGGGTTTGGAGTAAGAGTGACAGGAACGCAAACTTAAACTTGTTTTGGCTTCATGTTAAGAATTGGGTACATACATGTATGTTGATTTGTGGTCTCTGATTTTGCTATCTCTGTAGGTGTAGGATCTCTTCCTTTACCGTGTTGCCATTAGTACACTTTGCATGAGTCATTTCTGTGATTAGCTCCTATTCAGTACAGACTATTCAGTTAGAAGCTTTAAGAAATGTGTTTTAGTCTAACCTCTAATGGAAGAGAGTTTCCCTGTGCATTTTCTATTTCTTTTCTTCAGAATATGCCTGGTTTTAGCACAGCACAAAAACTGGATAAACTGGGAATGAGAGGGTCAAATACCTGTGAATTAATCTTTGAGGATTGCAAAGTTCCTGGTGAGTTACACAGTAGCTGTGCTGCTTTCAGCTGTAATGACAACTCCCCTATTTCTCTCTTCTTAGGTTTTGTCTTTCTGAATGTTAAATAAAATATTTTAAAAACTGAACAGTCAAAAATTGTTTCTCTATACTTAAACTCTTTCTTCTGAATCTCATTTTCCCTCCATCGTTTCCCTTCTCCTCTCTTTTCTAACAACAGTGGTTTGTTTAAACAGACTCTATTTTCTGGACATATTACTTACCCAGCAATGATTTATTGACCTTTAAAATAACAGTAGACAATCTACAGGGTATTTCTCAATCTTGGCCATTTTAAGATGTTTGGATGTCTATTCCTAGAATTCCTCAGCCAGTTTGCTGGTTGGGAAATTCTGGGAGTTGAAGTCCAGACATGTTAAAGCAGCCAGAGTTGACAACTGCTGCCTACAATTTATTTATGGCCATTCTATCGTAATTCTGTCTCCTGATTTCCATAGCAATCCTGCCTATTCCCATTCCATTTCCTTGTCCTCTAATTCATCCATGTATACATAAGACCTCTTTGTCATGGGTCATGCCTCCATCTACCTGATAAAATGAGGTAGACATAAGCTTAGCTTAGCTTATGTCTGAGTAAGTTTTAAAAGTATTAATAATTAAGGTGCCAGTGTTGTCTTTATGTTAAAAGCATTCAATAGAACAGCTCATGGTTAACATCACCCATTTTATCTTGTTGAGTATTCAGCATAGGGTTCAAGATTGTAATTTCCTATATTTGATTTCAGGAAAGGAAAAGAAACATCTTTTACTTGGTTTTCTCTGTGAATCCATTCTTTCCCACATTTGATCACAGTACATGTTGCTAATAAGGAACTGCAGAAGAGGCCACTTTATACTCTTAAAAATGCACCTTCTCATTTTTCAGATTTTATTGGCAGTAAAGTAGATTCCTGGTTTCCATTTTTTTAGGTAGAATTGAGAATGTGTCATTTCTTTTTTGTAAAAAACTGGTTCCATTTCCTCAGCTCAGTGGAAGACAACAGCAGTATTACTAAATGCCAGTTAAGCTTCCCTGATCTCCAGGGTCACTTCCATTGTTGTCCAACATTGACCTGTTCCAGTAATTTTCTGAGCTTTTAGAGTTCTTTCACTTGAATCAAAATGCATTTTAGAAATACAACTCTGAAACACATGGCTTTGTGTCACATATACTCTAGTGGCTGTAACACAAGCTCCTTTGATCCCTGTAAGCATCCACAGAAATATATGTTTAGGCCATATAGCAAAGGCCACAGCAGATTCAGAAGACTCTTCTTGTATTCTGCTGGAGGTATATTTATTCAGAGTTATTCTCTGAGATTCACTCGGGGAGTTAAGATACTGCTCTTTTTCTACATTTCACAAGGAATGCACCCACTCCATGTAATTGCATTACCTATAGTTTGCAACTGTTTTTTTTACTTATATTGTGTGTGTGTGTGTGTGTGTTAGGGTTTAAGTTAGGCAAACAGCACAGCTATATATAATTGCAGAATAACATCAATTGCTGAGCCTTATGTTTCACCTTGTGATTCCACAGTTGTGTATCAGCATAAACAATGGGTAAAGGTACATTTCTTTCACTATTGCTGTTTTTTTCAGTATGTTTTTAAAACCAGGTTATTGGTACTGTAGTTTTTAATATTGGAACTGACTGATGTCATCATATTAGACACAACAGGTTCCCATTACTGCTAATTTATTTATAATTTGATTTTATCACCATGATACTGAGATTAAACCTTAAATTGTGCATGTTTAATTATTTTTTGTCAAGATATGTAAGAAAGTGCATTGGTAACAGTGCTTTTTCTTCGTTGCTAAAAATATTTGTTAAAAATGTAATTCTCTCTATATCATATACTGCTGTGTATATGTAGGCTTACACATAATCTATCCGTGGTGCATTTCTTTATCTGAACCAGTGTTGAAGTTATACAAGTAACCAACTTCTCTTTGTCTCTTAAAGCTAAGAATGTATTGGGACAACTAAGTAAAGGAGTCTATGTGTTGATGAGTGGCTTAGATCTAGAGAGACTCATTCTGGCTGGTGGACCACTAGGGTAAATATGAGTTTATTTTATTATTCTGAGAACATTGTGATACTTCATCAGTTCTCTCAGTTGGTGGTAATAATTCCTTATGTAAAGTATTATTCACATGAGAAATCATTCCTACATTTCAATTAGTCTTTTTACTTGCTTTTCTTACATTAAGTTTCCTTATCTTTAAAATTATTTTTAAGCAACCTGTTTATACTAGCCTACAGTTACTCCCCTCCCCTCACAATTGTCTCTAGGAGCAAAGGGGCCTTCGTAGTTTTTATAGCTTTGAGGTGATTTATTCAAAGCGATGACTTACAAGTGCAGTTGTTCTTTTTGCTATTAAGACACATGAAAACAGTAGCTGAGATAATTGTACCATTACTGGCCATCTGTCAGCATAGAATGTCTGTCTCTGTAATAACTTCAGGGGAAGTTCAGTTCATGAATTGCCCATAAATACCATCCATTACTTTTTAAGGAGGCTGACAACATTGAAGGGCTGCATTTTACTTTTTAAAAAAAAATAATATTCTGAGAGTTACAAAACAGTATGAAGTAATGAAATGATCATCACCAGAGTGAGTGAGTTGTCATTTCTAAGTATTACTTTTAAAGGTTTGAGTTAAGAGATTTGTGCAGTTATGTTACTGCTTGATTTGAAAGAAAAATCATTCTGCCAAACATAGCCACTTTTTGCTGAATTTTGGTAGCATAATCTGAACACCAAAATAAGGGTGTTCAGGGAAGAGGATACCAGAGCGACAGCAGGAAATATGCAAGTGGGGTCCCTAACATTAAGATATTAAAAGTGATGTCTAAACTTTTTAAAATACAACTGCACAATACAGAGCACTATTTCCAGTGCTGGATATCTTTATGCTTTCAAAGAACCCTGCATAAGACACCATAATGAAGTATTTTGAGTCAAATTTGAATAAGATAAGGTTAATCTAATTGATTCTTATCTGCAGAGTAGTGCAGCCTACCATAATTTCTTGCTGCCTAACCAGTGAATCATAAGACAGTAATACTGCAGTTCAGCATTCCATGAGCAGAATGAAAAACACAAGAGACCAAGTTTTCCAATGAACCATTATATAGAGAAGCTGGAAGCTATAATTCCCTCCTCCCCCACCTTGCCTCCCAGCATTTGTTTTGTCTAATTTTTCCAAAAATTACTTTGTGTTGCATTTTTCAAGTTTGCATAATAGTTTTATGAGTGAAATGAGTTTTTAATTATGCTTATTTAGCAAATATGGAAATATTATTTGGTTCCAACTTCATAATCTTTTAATTACTTGAAATATTTTATACTAAGTTTCAATGATAAAACTTATTTGAAATAAGTTTTCTTTGAAATCAAATATCATTATTAAGATTCCCTTCATCCTTCCCAATATACACGTTTCTATTCCCCTAATTTCTGTTTTCAATTCCCCTAATTTATCTTGAGGAAATTGAAAGTTTGCTATTTAATACATTGTTAGCTAATTATAGGAAAGAAGGGTCATATTATCTAGTCAAATAACTGTACGTTTTAGTCTTTTGTTTTATAGTCTGATTCAGAAGACTTTCTCAACATGGGCTTCTTGCTTTTCTTTTTTAATTTTAACGAGGTATAGGTTATCCTAAGAGCCTTCATCCTGTTATAATTACTACAGTTTCTAAATGGACCAACACAGTTTTGTATAGTTCTGTCACTTGTAATTTTACCTTTTCTGGAATATATTATTTTACTGAAATGCTGAAGTGGGCAGGATAGGTTCAAAGCATTTCTTAATATTTGGTCAGTTTCTTTTATTCACCTGCTACTGCTCATCTATCGTTTTTCTTAATGCCCTTTTAGTTTCATGATTTTCTGAATTCACTATGTTTTTCATTGAATTTTTATGGGCCACCCTTTCAGAAATATGCTATAAATTCATAAAATCAATTTTAGTGCATTTGTTTCCCTTGCAGAATCATGCAGTCAGTCCTAGATCATGCTGTTCCATATCTGCATATCAGGGAAGCATTTGGGCAGAAAATTGGCCACTTCCAGGTAAGCATAATGAAAGAGACACCAATTAACTTTCAGGGAAGAATTCAATAATTGGCTAGTATCTGATCATCAATAAGAATCGTATTAAATAGATTTTGAATTAATTGGCTTTTAATTGTTTCTATCCTAGTTATGTTAATATTTGCATTCTAAGAAACGAAGTGCAAAACCATTGTACTTTTCCCCTTACTTCAATACTGGGTGATTCAGAGTAAGAAAATAATGGCATTTTAACTGCTAGAATATTCTTAAATTTGAAATTTAGTATCTTTGGGAAGCAACATTTGGATTAGATTTGCTCTTTATGTTACTTCCATACACTCACTGCCCAGGATAGCTGTGAGTTGGGGACCATGTAAATTTAACGAACAAATAACTATTTTAGTTTGCAGCTCCCTTTTGGAGAACAAGTAGGGATTTGGATTTTCAAAGTACTTTAGCAGTACAAAGGCTACTGTGATTCAAGGGATGATTTCATCCAATTACTATTATCACCATTTTCCTCCGGTAATAACTGTTCTTCTAGTGACATTTCACTAAGGCTTGCTAATCCAACACAAGTAGTTTTTGCTTCTATTTCACTTTGCACTTTGATTTGTGGACAGCAGCTGGAAATGTATGTTACTTCTGTCTTCTATATACCAATAATGAAATACATTTTTAATTGTTTCTTTTTTTACTGCTATTATAAGTCTCACTATAGTGATGTTCAGGAATGGAAGCCAATTTAATACAGATTTTTAGACATAACATTTGAAAATAACTTCAAACATTTTGCTTTTTTCACCTTTTTATGCTGCTGTATATAGTTGATGCAGGGTAAAATGGCTGATATGTATACCCGATTGATGGCATGCCGGCAGTATGTATATAACGTAGCAAAGGCGTGTGATCAAGGACACATCAATGCAAAGGTGAATTTGCGGGAAAATATTGTTTTTATTTTATTTTAGCTTTTCTATCGTATATTTCTATTCATAACACTGAAACTGAGAAACTATAAAAGCAAATAAAGCAGTAAAATTCATAACTCTGCAACTTATCAGAAAATCAGATTTAAAAAAAATTCAACAATTTAATGTTTGATTCGGTGATTACTAAATGGATTATCCGTTCAAGGCAATAACCGCTTTTGCCCATTTTCCAAATCACATACTGTGTTTCCCAGACTGTGAGTCCACTTATAAAATATTTTTAATTTCCACATTCCCCTGTATTTTGTTTTGCCAGGAGTACGTTAAAGATTTAGTACTACTGGAAATTAAGACACAAACTGTGTAACATATTTTAAATATCCCATTTTCCATTTTAACTGCTAGAATACGTTTTTATCTATCTACAAAAGATTTATTTATAGTGTAGCATAAGAAGTCACTGTAATAAGTTTAGTGTCCTTTAAAAGGCACTAACCATGGCATGAACAAAATGGTTATTTCCTTGTCTCCCATTGCTCAAAACCTGCCATAATAGCCTGTTGCCTTGCTCCTCATGAGGAGCAACTAACTATCTGGAGCACTTGTGGCCAATCTCCCATCCTTTCTTTGTCCAGAAAGGTTTGAACAGCTGTTCTGCTCATGTAATGAAATATGTCGATGACCTTGAGAAACTGGGGAAAGAGATGCTGCCTAGGAAACAATCAGAAGAGACAGGCAGGAGTCCTCAGTGGCTTAAGAGTCAAAAGAAAATTAAGAAGGACCTGCCCTAATGTGTCAAGCAGTTAAAAGCAGCGGTGGGAAGTCTGTACTTGCAAAATTCTCTTAATGTAGCCATGCAATAAAGTATAATTAGTACATTTTGTGTTTCCTGTCTGGTTTACCTGGGATGGCTGACAACTCACTGGCTGTCCATTTTTTGCCTTACATTTCATTTTTCACGGAGCTGTCTTTTATCTGCCATTTCTTCTTTTGGAAATTCAAATATATAACAATTCTCTCCTAAGAAAACAATAAATTTATCTGTAATAATTATGTATATTTAAATGCATAGTGGGATATGGAAAGAAATATATAATTCTACTGGGTTATTTTTCAAATTAGAATTGCTTTGCATCCTTCTATTTCAGTGCAAGTGATCTTGTCTTTTTCTTCAGGACTGTGCCGGAGTGATCCTCTATTCCGCAGAATGTGCTACTCAAGTTGCTTTGGATGGAATCCAGTGTTTGGGTAAGAGACGAGATAGCTGATTGTTCCACTAGTATAGTAGACCAACTAATTAAAAGTTTGCATATCATTATATAGCTACTTCTGTCTCATCTTTACTGATTACTACTATATCTTATAATTTGTTCCTTTTCAAATTGATATTAATTAGCATGCAAGCTTTCTTTGCATATGAATACATTATTAGTACCGTTCCCCCCAAAATACAACCTATCCTGATAGTAAGCCCTAGCTTGATTTTTACACGTGTGCCCAATATAAACCCTACCCCCCCCCCCCCCCAAAAAAAAATAAGCTCTATTTAAGATCCCATCCACTTGAGTGCATGGGGTAAAAATTAAGCTTGGGTGGGGATTGGGGGTGGTGGAGCTGCCCTACTACTTAGCTTTGGACAGTTGTAGCCAGGCCTTGCACACCCTAACACCTGCCTTGCTGGACCACCATCAGGATTTCTGTCTCTTATTTAACATTTAGCTCTTTTCCTTTCATTTCAGGGGGAAATGGCTATATCAATGATTATCCCATGGGACGTTTTTTGCGTGATGCTAAATTGTATGAAATTGGGGCAGGGACAAGTGAGGTGCGCAGAATAATAATTGGTCGGGCATTTAATGCTGCATTTGTTTGATAAGACTGTTGTAAAGAAGAATTGAACTTCAGACCAGGATGCCTTTTCTTTCCAAATCTTCAAACCATGCACAACTGTTGCTTTTCACCTGGATACTAGGCTATCCACCCCATTTTTGAAATTATTACGCTGCTAAATTTAAGAAGACACGACTATTGCAGTGGAACAAAATAGGCGGTTCAAGTATAAGATGTGAATAACTGCCATCAAGTCTTATTGTAGAAGATTGAAATTTCATCCAGTTTAAAACGTTGCCTTTGTGAGAATCACTGAACTGCATTTTTTTTCACCTGACTGACGTGTCACTTTTATGAATGGAAATAGTGGGGTTCTAATACATCCTATTTCCAAAATGCTAGTAGAATGCATGGAGATCTTTGATTACTGGATTTTGTGAAATTTTAGGTCTATTTGAATATAATTTATTAAAACATTGTTAAAATGTGAGGCATGTATTTCTGTGTATTCTGTCTCAGTATTAACTGAAGTATATTAGCACCACGTGAAGCTTGCAGTTATTGATGGACTGCCATTTCATGTTTGATTTGTGTCAGAGTGTCACTATTTATCACTTCAGAAGCAATTAAAATATTAGGCAGCTGCTTCACTGGGAGATTGTTGATTCTCTCAAAAATTTCCCCTTGATTAATATAGGATATTGCAAGTAGGAAAAGGACCTTTTTTTTTTTTTTTTTTGCTATGCCAGAGTTTCTGTGGAACAGGCAAGAAAAATCTATATTAAACTCAAGAAGGTGGTGCAAAAATTCCATGACAACACAGCCAGTCTGACCAGAGGGGGAAAAAACTGGTAATTCTTTTTCCAAATACAAGAAGCATGTTTGTCCTAAACCAGCAGCACAGAGTATATACATTTTTAAAAAATACTCATATCCAATTTTTCCTTCTTAATTAAGTTGTAAATAAAAAGGGATTGTTGCTTATGAACTAACCTATTTTTGATTGCAGTGCAATCCACACGATTGAATGAATTCTACATTCAGTGCCTGACTTAAAAATGCATTTGAAAATCTCAATGGAAAAATTATATATTTCACAGACTGCATATAGGATTCCTGAAAATGTTAATTTTTAAAAGGAAGTATTACATTTGAAAGTGAGAACTTCCAATACAGTATTCTGTTAAATCACAGCACATATATGTTCCATAACAATCCAATTATGGTTTTTCTAAATCATATAGCCTGTGAACTTTGGCTTCATCTTTTTAAAGTACCGTATTTGCCGGCGTATAAGACGACTTTTTTGCCCCGAAAAACATGCCTCCAAGTGGGGGGGTCGTCTTATACGCCGGTATATCCACTGCCGGCTTTCGGATGCTTGTTGGACGCAGCGAAGGCGCCTCTGGCTTCCTGGATCCCCTGCGTCGCTTCCGCTTCATCCCGCTCGCCTCGCTCCGCCCGAGGCTGCAGCCTTCCTGTTCTTCCCACGGCCCCTGGCACTCTGCCCTGCCGCTGCAGCCCCGGGGATTTCTGGAGGGCGTTTCCGGTGGTGGTGGGGGGTCGTCTTATACGCCGGGTCGTCTTATACGCCGGCAAATACGGTATTAAATATGCAGCATAGAAGTAATTACTCAATGTAAAAATGAAGTTTTAAAATGCAGCAGTATAATTTTCTCCTATGTTGAGCTCAAAAAATCAATTACTTCAAGATCATGAAGTGTTATCATAAAATAACATTATCTCTTCTATTGAACTATGTAATACAGCCAATTAAGCAAGGGATTATTAATAATTCAAATCAAGCTGGAACTTGGTTCCAAAACTTGCCACATGGTATCTAGAGTTATGGAAAAAAAAAAAAACAATTCTTTAAAAAGCATCTTATCAATCTTACGAGATTTTTCATAGGTCTCTATGAAGGGTATTGATCTTTTTTATACAAAAGGGTTCTTTCTATTTTAAGCTGCTTTTGCTGTAGTAAAACATGGGGAAAATTGGTAGCTTTGTAAGATCACTAATATTAATAAACAATTATAAAACAAAGTTGTTGCTTCTCTGTTTATGCATTAACTGTTAGCATGTCTGTCTCCTCTAGGAGAAAGTGGGTAAAACTTTCTACATTCATTTACATTATATGATCATAAATAAAAGCTTGAATCTTCCCTCATCCTGTGGAGGCAAGAGGCACCTTTTTAGCTATAACTCTTCATTCAATATTGTCTTACAACCATTAAAAGTCATTGAAATATTGGGCAGATTTTGAAACCATAAATTCCTGTGGAATTTCAACTATCATTTAAAATAAATCAGATCATATTAATGAATGTTTCTATTATTGTATTGCTTTACAAGGGATACATAGCATATTCATACATTTAACTCGATCTCTTTTAATTTATTGTTTAGATCTTTTGTTTTTATTCTATGGATTTGGGGTTTGGCTTCTGATTTCCTTGTACATTATCCTGAAAGCTATTTATTATAGAGCAACCAATTTTAGAATAATATATAATTAGACTGGGATAATCTGTCATATTTCACAAAGTACTCCACAATAATTGCATTCAAGATTATAGGAAGGAGCATAGGGAGTTGAAAGCATCATGTGCTATGTTTAATGTTTTTTTTATTTTATACCTGGTGTTATGCCACATTATGCAGCCGGTCTGTTGGCCTATAAATGCATTTATAGGTGCAGGCTGATGCTTGGCTATGCTAGTTCACAGGCAAAGTTTGTAGCCTATCACTTGAATGAATTCCTTACATGTGATTTAGTATAGCATTAAAGTCCTTAAACAAGTTTCTGAATCAGTTTTCCAGAATATACTGTACTATCAGCAGATAAAAGTGGCCCATGAGCTACCAGAATTAATCTGTTTTTAAAATATTTAATAAGCTCTCTGTACTTCACAAACTGATCTCAAACTTAGTATTTAGGACACCATCTATTCAACCAATTTATATTGGTATAATATTATCAACTTTAAAAATACAAACTTACATATAAATCATAGTTTTGATTCTACCGTAGAAATGTGAGATAGAAAAATCCTAAATCAAAAAGTGGGTGGAATATTGTCTGCCCATCATTTAATTTAATATCTTGTCCTACAAAAGCTTTTGTCTCATCTAAAGCATGTAATTATATGTTAACCTGCTACACATGCAGCTTGCTTTCTGCCTAAACTTGACGGCAAGCCAGGATCCAACCTGGGTTGGCATATGCATTTGAAACCTAGAGCTGCAGCAAATTCTGGTTCAGAGACCCAAACCTTTCCAGTACCAGCATGCATAAGCCACACATCCTCTTCTCCCTCACCTCCATGCCAGTGATTTCTCTTACGTACTCCCCATTTTCAGACCACACTACTATAGAAAGGAAAGTGCAACAGTGAAGCTTCCTTTTTTATCAGCAGGAAAAAAAAACCAGCTCTGTTCTCAATGGCTGCAGTGGCAAAACAGCAACTATTCTCGGCTTCTCCCCGCTTTTCTACAGTAAAGGCAGTTTGGAGGTCATTGGAAGGTCAAGAGGTCCCACCAGCAATTGTTTGCAGCCTGAGAACTGTGCATTCTTGATATATCTTTTAAAGGAATAAGGTTTTACAAAATCTTCCATGTACCCAATAATCTGAACTGATGATATACAAGTGCAGAAGGAACAGTATCTCTCTCAAAAGATCTTTCTGATACAGCACAGTCTTAAATACAGACCATCCGCCCACCCAGTCCCCCTTCCCAATTGCTTGCTATGCTTGAAGAGGTAATGGATAAATAAATGCAAACTCCAACTGATAGAATAGAATTCTTTATTGGCCAAGTGTAGTTGTACACACAATGAATTTGACTTGGTGCAAATACTCTCAGTATACATAAAAGAAAAGATACATTCGTCAAGAATCATAAGGTACAACACTTAGTGATAGTCATAGGGTACAATAAGCAATCAAATCATACTAGGAAACAGTCAATATAAATCGTAAAAAGTTAGGTGGTTCTACTGGTTTAATTTATCTGTTATACAGTATATGCCACCTTTCTTCCAGGAGCTCAAGGTGGCTTACATAGGGATCGCTCATTTTTATCCCTACAACAATCTCGTCAGGAGTTTGGGCTGAAAGAGAATGACTAGACCCCAGAATCACCCATAGCTAAAAGTAGACTAAGATAACTTACTGTAGTTCTAGTTAAGCATCTTAACCACTATTACATCTTGGTTTTCCTTTCTTTTCTAATGGTAAAGTGGTAATTAATTGAATAAAAACATGTGGCCACTACTTTACAGCGTTTATGAAAACAAGCACTGTTCCAGTAAGCCTTTGACCCCTATTAATTTAACGAAGTCTTTGATGCCTGTTTAACATTTATTATGATTATTGTCCACGTGTTTTTAAAAGTATATTTCTTTGGACTTTATTGTATCCTACCCAAAGTCTTGGATTGGGCTATAAATTTTGAAAAATCAATCAAGTGAAATGCACTCATAAAAATACCAATTTCAAACTTTATTGCTAATATTTCTTTTTTAATAAATAAGTCTCATAAACTCAATTTTTACAAATTGCCAACTGCCTTCCATGAACACTCTTTAGGAAGAAAATTAATATATACAGTAGGATAATGCATTCCCTGGTACTAGGAGACACATAAACAAGGGATCTAGATAAATTGAAATTAACCTTAGGTTACAAAAGGAGTTAGTACTGTGTTTGTCAAACCATTATTTAATTTACAAACACACATACTAAAAGTCATATTGGTACATAAATGGCAGTGGCTGTCACCTATGAAGGATGAGCTGTTTAATTCAGCTTTTAGCAGGCTATTTATTATCATTAATGAGTTATTCATTGAGTAGTATTGTACTGGGCTTCAAGGGGATAATTTTAAAATAGCCATTATCTCACAGACATTTCAGTTTTTCTGTCAAGTATGTCTTGTACAAAAAAAAGAGACCTGCATACCTTCAGCAATGAACTATAAGCTTCCTAAAATGTATCAAAAATTGGAGCAATGATAACAACAGCAAACATATATGCTATCAGTTTGATGCCACAAAGCCTAGGTCCGTGATGGGGAACCTATGGCACACGTGCCACAGGTGGCATGCAGAGCCATTTGTGCGGCCATGCGAGCCCCAGTCAAACTTATCTGCACTGCACATGCACGTGCCTCCCAGCTTATTTTCGGCCTGTTTTGAGGCCGTTTTCGCCCTCCCAGAGGCTCAAGGAAAGGCTCTGCAGCCTTTGGATGCCAAAAAATGGGCCTTCGAGAAATACCGGAAGTGCCGAAAAGGGAAGTGCCGAAACAGGCCCATTTTTCGGCCTCCAAAGGCTGCAGAGACTTCCCTTGAGCCCCCGGGAGGGCAAAAACGGCCTCAAATGGGCCAAAAATAAGCTGGGTGGCGCGCGCATGCAAAGTGGTTAAGGTGGGTTGCGCGCACAAGCACGGGGGGGCACATTGCATTGTGGGTGCTGGCACACACACGCTTTCAGCACACAACAAAAAGGTTCGCCATCACTGGCCTAGGTTATCCAAAAAACTGAGATTGAGAACCAAGGTCAAATGGAATACACTAAACCAAAAGCCATATCTTGTAAAAAAATCTACATAAGTTGTTTGCTGTTTTGTGTTGAAAGTAACTTTGTATTGTTATGCATTAATGTTGGGAATGCTTCATTAGCATGAATTATGAATTCAACAGTTTGGGATGTTTTGTTTATTTTTGTGTTATAAATTGCTGAGTTTGTTGTACAACCCCTTCATTGCATGCACTCAATGAATCTGAAAATATTTTAAA